TCTTGTTTTGTTTTATTCAGCCTCTTCCTTGTTTCATATCACTCTGATGTGCTACTTGCAATTTCGTGTTTTGTTTTATTCAGCCTCTTCCTTGTTTCATATCACTCTGATGTGCTACTTGCAATTTCTTGTTTTGTTTTATTCAGCTTCTTCCTTGTTTCATATCACTCTGATGTGCTACTTGCAATTTCTTGTTTTGTTTTATTCAGCCTCTTCCTTGTTTCATATCACTCTGATGTGCTACTTGCAATTTCGTGTTTTGTTTTATTCAGCCTCTTCCTTGTTTCATATCACTCTGATGTGCTACTTGCAATTTCTTGTTTTGTTTTATTCAGCCTCTTCCTTGTTTCATATCACTCTGATGTGCTACTTGCAATTTCTTGTTTTGTTTTATTCAGCCTCTTCCTTGTTTCATATCACTCTGATGTGCTACTTGCAATTTCTTGTTTTGTTTTATTCAGCCTCTTCCTTGTTTCATATCACTCTGATGTGCTACTTGCAATTTCGTGTTTTGTTTTATTCAGCCTCTTCCTTGTTTCATATCACTCTGATGTGCTACTTGCAATTTCTTGTTTTGTTTTATTCAGCCTCTTCCTTGTTTCATATCACTCTGATGTGCTACTTGCAATTTCTTGTTTTGTTTTATTCAGCTTCTTCCTTGTTTCATATCACTCTGATGTGCTACTTGCAATTTCTTGTTTTGTTTTATTCAGCTTCTTCCTTGTTTCATATCACTCTGATGTGCTACTTGCAATTTCGTGTTTTGTTTTATTCAGCTTCTTCCTTGTTTCATATCACTCTGATGTGCTGCTTGCAATTTCGTGTTTTGTTTTATTCAGCTTCTTCCTTGTTTCATATCACTCTGATGTGCTACTTGCAATTTCTTGTTTTGTTTTATTCAGCCTCTTCCTTGTTTCATATCACTCTGATGTGCTGCTTGCAATTTCTTGTTTTGTTTTATTCAGCCTCTTCCTTGTTTCATATCACTCTGATGTGCTACTTGCAATTTCTTGTTTTGTTTTATTCAGCTTCTTCCTTGTTTCATATCACTCTGATGTGCTACTTGCAATTTCTTGTTTTGTTTTATTCAGCTTCTTCCTTGTTTCATATCACTCTGATGTGCTACTTGCAATTTCGTGTTTTGTTTTATTCAGCCTCTTCCTTGTTTCATATCACTCTGATGTGCTGCTTGCAATTTCTTGTTTTGTTTTATTCAGCCTCTTCCTTGTTTCATATCACTCTGATGTGCTACTTGCAATTTCTTGTTTTGTTCTATTCAGCTTCTTCCTTGTTTCATATCACTCTGATGTGCTACTTGCAATTTCTTGTTTTGTTTTATTCAGCTTCTTCCTTGTTTCATATCACTCTGATGTGCTACTTGCAATTTCTTGTTTTGTTTTATTCAGCCTCTTCCTTGTTTCATATCACTCTGATGTGCTGCTTGCAATTTCTTGTTTTGTTTTATTCAGCCTCTTCCTTGTTTCATATCACTCTGATGTGCTACTTGCAATTTCTTGTTTTGTTTTATTCAGCTTCTTCCTTGTTTCATATCACTCTGATGTGCTACTTGCAATTTCGTGTTTTGTTTTATTCAGCCTCTTCCTTGTTTCATATCACTCTGATGTGCTACTTGCAATTTCTTGTTTTGTTTTATTCAGCTTCTTCCTTGTTTCATATCACTCTGATGTGCTACTTGCAATTTCTTGTTTTGTTTTATTCAGCCTCTTCCTTGTTTCATATCACTCTGATGTGCTGCTTGCAATTTCGCGTTTTGTTTTATTCAGCTTCTTCCTTGTTTCATATCACTCTGATGTGCTACTTGCAATTTCTTGTTTTGTTTTATTCAGCCTCTTCCTTGTTTCATATCACTCTGATGTGCTGCTTGCAATTTCTTGTTTTGTTTTATTCAGCCTCTTCCTTGTTTCATATCACTCTGATGTGCTACTTGCAATTTCTTGTTTTGTTTTATTCAGCTTCTTCCTTGTTTCATATCACTCTGATGTGCTACTTGCAATTTCGTGTTTTGTTTTATTCAGCTTCTTCCTTGTTTCATATCACTCTGATGTGCTACTTGCAATTTCTTGTTTTGTTTTATTCAGCCTCTTCCTTGTTTCATATCACTCTGATGTGCTGCTTGCAATTTCTTGTTTTGTTTTATTCAGCCTCTTCCTTGTTTCATATCACTCTGATGTGCTGCTTGCAATTTCTTGTTTTGTTTTATTCAGCCTCTTCCTTGTTTCATATCACTCTGATGTGCTGCTTGCAATTTCTTGTTTTGTTTTATTCAGCCTCTTCCTTGTTTCATATCACTCTGATGTGCTACTTGCAATTTCTTGTTTTGTTTTATTCAGCTTCTTCCTTGTTTCATATCACTCTGATGTGCTACTTGCAATTTCTTGTTTTGTTTTATTCAGCCTCTTCCTTGTTTCATATCACTCTGATGTGCTACTTGCAATTTCGTGTTTTGTTTTATTCAGCTTCTTCCTTGTTTCATATCACTCTGATGTGCTACTTGCAATTTCGTGTTTTGTTTTATTCAGCTTCTTCCTTGTTTCATATCACTCTGATGTGCTGCTTGCAATTTCTTGTTTTGTTTTATTCAGCCTCTTCCTTGTTTCATATCACTCTGATGTGCTGCTTGCAATTTCTTGTTTTGTTTTATTCAGCTTCTTCCTTGTTTCATATCACTCTGATGTGCTACTTGCAATTTCTTGTTTTGTTTTATTCACCCTCTTCCTTGTTTCATATCACTCTGATGTGCTGCTTGCAATTTCGTGTTTTGTTTTATTCAGCCTCTTCCTTGTTTCATATCACTCTGATGTGCTGCTTGCAATTTCTTGTTTTGTTTTATTCAGCCTCTTCCTTGTTTCATATCACTCTGATGTGCTGCTTGCAATTTCGTGTTTTGTTTTATTCAGCCTCTTCCTTGTTTCATATCACTCTGATGTGCTACTTGCAATTTCTTGTTTTGTTTTATTCAGCTTCTTCCTTGTTTCATATCACTCTGATGTGCTGCTTGCAATTTCTTGTTTTGTTTTATTCAGCCTCTTCCTTGTTTCATATCACTCTGATGTGCTGCTTGCAATTTCTTGTTTTGTTTTATTCAGCTTCTTCCTTGTTTCATATCACTCTGATGTGCTACTTGCAATTTCTTGTTTTGTTTTATTCAGCCTCTTCCTTGTTTCATATCACTCTGATGTGCTACTTGCAATTTCTTGTTTTGTTTTATTCAGCTTCTTCCTTGTTTCATATCACTCTGATGTGCTGCTTGCAATTTCTTGTTTTGTTTTATTCAGCCTCTTCCTTGTTTCATATCACTCTGATGTGCTGCTTGCAATTTCTTGTTTTGTTTTATTCAGCTTCTTCCTTGTTTCATATCACTCTGATGTGCTGCTTGCAATTTCTTGTTTTGTTTACTTCCAACAAATGCTTTTTCATGCAAACTGTGTGTTTGGCTGGTGCTACCGGTAAGGGCAGGGAATGCTTACCATTTTCATGGTTGGCTATGTAGATAAATATAGACTACAGCTGCAGGGGCGTCTCTGCAACAACTCATGTGTTTCATTTAAAAATACTGATTTCTGTGCATCATGTCATCTTAAACTGTGAATGTCTGGATTCTTTCCCTCTCTAACTGAAAATCTTGATTATTTTGTTATTTATTTATTTAATTACATAATCTTGATGTTTTGAGAATCTTCGGATTTATCTGGAGGAAATTCATTCATCCATCCATCCATCCATCCGTCCATACATTCATTCATTCATTCATTCATCCATTCATGCAACATGTGTGATAGGCTGTTGCTACCGGTAAGAGCAGAACATCCTTACCCTTTTCGCGAAAACCAAGTGTCACTGATTTTCAATGACCTATTTATGTAATTTTCACCTTTTACACCATTGGAATCTGTTTCGTTGGATGATCGAGACTGGTTATTTTCTAGCGTTGACGTTTCTCTATGATCTATGATAATATTGAAATTAGCTAATAGTATGTTAAACTTAGTTTGAGGGGGTGAATGTTGTTTTAAACCAGTGCAAACAATATCCCAGTTATATCACCTGTAAACAATGTGAGATGAGGTGAAATGGGATTTAACGTTGCGTCTAAGATTATTGCATTTATGTAGTGACTTGCATGCACGTGTGTGTTTGTGTGTGTGCTTGTACTAGTCCGGACTGATGCCGATTTAAAGTGCTAGCACACTGAGATGCCATGCCGTAGATTAACATGACTACCCCCCTCAGACACAGTATACTGACTCCGAGCCGTACGCCAGACAGAGTACAAACAAGTACCATCTTTTAACGTCTTTTGGTATGACGCGGCCGGGGTTCGAACCCCGGACCTTCCGCTCTCCGGGCGGACGCTCTACCACAAGACCACGGAGGCGGTTTGTAGGTAATGGAATCTGGATTATTTAACCAGTGATCAATAGCGTCACAATGACTCACGTCGTCTGAGTATTACGCTCTATAACCCAACTCACACGTTTTCACCTTTCACTTTTAGGGGGGCGGTCGTGTAGCCTCGTGGTTTAAGCGTTCGCTCGCACGCCGAAGACCCGGGTTCGATTCCCAACATGGGTACAATGTGTGAAGCCCATTTCTGGTGTTCCCCGACGTGATATTGCTGGAATATACCATACTCACTCCCTCACTCATTTTCACCATTAGGACCATTTCAGTCTGGGGTTCAGGCTTTATTCTACTGATTACTTACACCAAGTGATGAGAGCTGAGGATATAAGTGGTCCTACTACAATTTGATACTTTCCATCGAATAAAAATATAAACGACAAAACATTTTCCATAATTATATGAAGTTCATTGTACGATTCCGACTATATCATAAGCAGTGTTTATGAATCACTCTCAAATAGTGATGACACTAGGTGTTCGTGACAAGTCAGATATCCTTCCCCCTCCGTCACAAACACATACAAAGGCAAGTCAATTGTTCACAATTTAACACATGAAGTAACAAGAGGCTGGGCTATATGAAAACATAAAAAGAACAGTTTTATTCACAATAAGGTAGCCCTGGCAACACTAAAACTTGTGCAAGGTTGGCCACAGAACATATTACACATCTTATGTACAGCTATTAACAAAAGGTGGAAGCCCACATTTGGCATCGTTCTGATATAACATGATATAAAAAAATACTTGAAATGTAATTAATGTCATTGACAAAACAAATGCAAGAACATATTGACTGTATTATAGTTAAGACATTTACAGGTGTGGATTCTCTTTGTTTTAGGGGAGGGAGGGGGGTTTCTAGGTTTGTCAGCACCGTACCCGTGCTCGTGGGTTTCACCGAAGTGGTAAACGTCTGAGACCTGCATCACTTCGGGCTTTCCTCCCACATTAAGCTGACACGCCGTGATATAACTGGAATAATGTTAAAAGCGGCGTTAAACCCAACACACTCACTAACTCTTTGTTTTAGAGTCAGAAAGATGTTGATCTTCAGACTTAGGATTATCACTAGATTAAGTAGATTACCATAAATCTGAAGATGTACTAAAGAAAAACTTCACAATTCACTTTCGCTCTATGAGCCTCGCTGGAGTATGAAAGTACATGCTCCGGTGAACTCACACAAAGTTAATTTAGTGCATGCGACGTTTTGGTGTTGACGTCATTTTGTCATGTTTGCACTCACAGTCATACAGCAACCATCTGTGTCGCGGAATAAAATAGTTCCTCAAAAGAAGAGGTGACCTGAGTGTGTTTGCTCAAATTGGTCCACAGTAACATCTTTGTTATTTGGTTACAACAAATAGATCCAAATAATATCATTAATAGATGGGAAAAGTTTGTTCGGAACTACCTGAGTAAGTCGGTCATAGTGACATACGTCGTAATACATTTGCTTTAAATACACGGGAGATAACGTGACGGGAGAGATTTCATATATTACATATTTTTTGCGATTACAAATGTTGGTCATCATTGATCAACTGTCCGATCGTTGATCGGTGCATATAAACATGTGTCAAATAAATACTTAGGTCAATTCATAGATTGGTGTGGACTATTACTTGTCAGTCTAGGCACGGATGGAGTCGAACGTTTTGGTGTGCATTTCTTCGTTCTATTCACAAGGATGGGTCGAAGGGAGGAAATGTGTGCACTGGCATGCCGACAAACTCTCAAACTGTTCCCAATGTTTTCTAAAACACGGAGTTCAAGATTAAAGAATCTGAATGATCAGAAACAACGCCCCTGCATTTATTCGTGCCAGGAAATCGCAAGGTGTTTCACATGAATGTGAAAGTAGTACCTCGATGTTTACGCCATTTCAAGAATACAGTCTCGTGAAAAACGTATGAACGTCATTTTCGGCCAGTTTCGCGGTCACGTGACCGGCCTGTCGTCCGAAAAGCCGCTTATCGTGTAAACTTCACATTAAACATTATAACGATATGAAGTGCCTCAAGTAAGAATATTCATCAATATGTTTTTGCGATATAAAACGTTTATAATTTCACTAAAACTAATAACACTTTTTTTCAGGAACAAAGTAGACGCGATTTTCAAAGACTACGAAATGTACATGTAGCCATTTCTTGAGAACAGTTTTCATGTGATTTTCTGTTATTGCGACTATAAGGTAATTATCGATATAGTCTAAATATACCTTCTTAACTAAATTATTAATGAATGCATTGTGGACAGGTGGGTGTTGATTGTGAAAAAAAGCGTGATTGTGTAAATGGATCACCTTAGAGAAAGTATTTTTGTTGAAAATAATCCATTACGTGCAACCTTTTGCCAGTTTGAATGCATATTGAATGAAAAAAACCCACACAGAATAGAGTAATGACAACAAAGGAAATCAGTACAGGCGTTCGTGACAATTCCAGTGGACTTAACGATCTAGGACTTACGGCTCCCCAATATTGCATTAAATGATGAATGTTTGCAGTGTCGACTTTTTAAAAAATACCTTTACAAGTTAACACGGTCTTCTATTTCGTCAAAACAAAATTGCCATTCAGGATAAAATAAGAGGCAATCCATAAGGGTGACTGTTGTTTTAATAGAGTGTGAGGCCATTTCTGGAAATCCTTTGTCATTGGGTATAATTATAATTCAATTTGTCATTTTACGTAGATGTTTCATCCTAACACGCACGGTGAGTCAATGAGTAGAGTTTACACCGCTTGTAGCATTATTCCAGCATCATCATAACGGGGAACACCAGAAACGGGCTTCAAACACAGTCCTGATGTTGGGAATCGAACCCGGGCTTTCGGCGTGTCGAGCGAACGATTTACCCACTAGGTTACCCCACCGCTCTTATACATATCATGAAGTAAGTCTGGGCTTCTGTTATCAGGAAACTCATTTATGAATGATATTCTATCCTGGATAGGTTTTGGATATTAGATATTAAGTTTCTATCGACGAGATTCTATCTTAACTGATACAATGTACAATGCATCTTATGGCATTATATGTGTAGCGCTGTGGCATTGTTATAGTTGTCTCGCGTCTCAGGCGTCATGGCAACTGTTTCCTTGCTGCAGACGCGGACACCATTACGTGTTCTCATCCATAGCTATAGCCTTTGCCGCAGCAACAAACGTTGCATAGATGTCAGTATTGTTGCAGCAACCATTGACCGACATGATGGCACTGTCAACGCTGCAGCAATGGGACGTCAAGACATCGTTGACGCTATAATTGTTACTGCAACCATTTAACGTCATTTCGTAGTTGCACTGTTGCACCAGTAAACTGAACCTCACGACACCAGTGTCACCTTCCTCTAGAAAGTCAAGTTGCTGTCACCAGTCCTACAACTTGTCTTGAACGTCATGACATCGCTGTTGTCATGGCAACAGCAAACGGTGCCTTAGAATCGGGTGTCTCCCCCTCTTCAGATATAGTTGCGGGTTGTGAAGGTTTCTTGAGCTTCCTTCTGAATTTCATCGCGGCCAACTTGACCATTCCTTCCACGTCATTCATCTCGGCGACCTCGGGATCTTGGATAGTAATCCCCGTTGCTTTCTTGATCTGCATTTTACGCACGATGCCAGCCAGACCTGGCAGACCACTTGCCTCCATCATGCTTTTCCGTCTGTCCCTGCTGGCGTTCTGTGCCGCCTGGTCCTGATCCTCCTTTCGTTTCTTGATGATCTTCTTCAGCGTCTGCCGGAGAGTGACAAGGCCCATGTCCTCTCGCTTCTTGGCCTTGGCCTTTAACGTTCGCTGGTTGACGTAGCGGGACATGTCTTTGGCACCTTTCATCATCTCTCTGCAACAAAATAATGTTAGTATTGGTATCTTCCTCGATTTTCCTGAGTATTATAACTCCTTTCTGTTACCATACATACCCTGGACCCATTTGCCATATCATCGTTTCTGAAGTGGAGTTACTTTCTTCGTTCTTTTCACAATCTTAATGGAATTTCTTCCACACATGCCATTTATATGATTGGACGGCTATATTTAGCCTTATGCCATTCGATTCGGTCCCAAAATGAATATATGGCAGCGAACGGGTCCATGGCTTTCATAACAATAGAATAGGATATATCTGATGACATTACATAGATTTAAAGGGACACTACTATGCACTCATAATTCGTTAATCCGGACATTGTTGAAATTAAATAAAGAAACATCAACGCCAGAGATCAACAAGTGTCGACTATCTGCCGGAACAGATTCGACTGGGGGGTCAAGGCAAAACAGCGATGCAAATTGCATGAACGGATCACTTGGAATAGTCAATACCATTCAGCGTGAATTTTTCTTGTCTTTCCACCATTACAAGAACTGCCATAGACAAAATGCATCACATATCCAATTAGATAATATTTATCTTAAAAGAAACATAATTTGTCTAATATTGATTAAAATACGTGAGGCCTGATTTATATGCCCTACTGTGTGAACACTACAAGGAAAACTAATTTTGAAATATTTCCATGTGCAGTAAATGACCAACTTCACGGAACGAGCTAGGTTACCAACAAAGACCCATTTGCTATTTAAGCCGCATGAGGGATAATGAAACCCTCCCGCACCAGATTATTAAGAAAGAAACAATCCGGACAGTGATAAAACACAAGTGCAAACCCTGGCTCAATTTCTCAAATGAAATTATCAGAAAATCGAAAACTTCCAACGTCAGAGAACAATCAGTCTCGAATATCTGCCGAATATCTCTCGAAGAACTGATTCCATATGGCGCAAACGGCAAAGACGTGATGATAATTATGTGAATGGATCACTGAAAGTCAGTGGTGACACCTGGTGTTCACGAAAAGGGTAAGTATGTGCCGCTTTACCGTGGACACCCGCCACTACGGAAGGCTTTTATGGCCTTTTGTTTTTTTAATTTTCTCTTGAAATTTCAAGACACTAAGTTGAAATTTCAAGATACTAACTTGAAATTTCAAGAAACACATAAGTTGCAAATACAAGATACTAACTTGAAATTACAAGATACACATAAGTTGAAATTTCAAGATACTGACTTGAAATTTCAAGATGCTTGAAATTTCAACCAATGTATCTTGAAATTTCAAACTTAGCATCTTAAGTGTCAAGTTAGTATCTTGAAATTTCAAGAGGAAAATTAAAATACAAATGGCCCTAAAAAGCTTCCAAAGAAAACTGTAAAGATCATATTATGGAATAGCATTGAACATCATATTGACAAGCGACGTGTCATATTAGTAAATTCCTCCGAATGTTCACCATACAGGTTCCGGGCTGATGGCGAAACATTGTTTGAAAAGCTCACTTGTAAGCCAAAATGTGCATTTCATGAAATGTCAATAAGGTGTAATGCTCAAAAGTACCCGAGCAACTCAGAATCGTAGATGCCAGTTGATGACATAGTGCCCTATATGAAGGGGAATTGACGATCGGAAAATCGAAATCATCCCTTAAGCTTGTCGATCAGCTTGGAACACTACTGCCATCATTTTGAATTTCCAAGCACAGATCAGATGGTTTCTCTGTAGTTTCTTATATTCCCACATTTGGTAGATTACATGAATAAACTCAGTTTTGTCGGAATTGTTGAACGAAATGAGGTCATGTCGGTTACTGAAACTGAGGTTGAACGTTCTAGAAACTAAGGAATGCTTAAGTGTTTCCTCAAAATAGCTTTCATGTGCAGAAAGGAAAACCTTTAAACATATCCAACGGGATTTCGATCCCAGCCCTTGAAATAAATTGGCCTGTCCCTTATCGCATAGTCGGTCAGTGGTCACTTAGACGTCGTCAGGTCCTCGGACATATGCCATGTTACCCTGAAGATACGGCCAGAAAGGGAACTGATTACACCGTGGACTTACAGAATTCAATTCTGGGCTCTTCGTTTGACCAGCCTCGAGGAAAACGCTTTGAATTCTTTATGTAAAACGGTCCCTTAATTTCCCCCAATAATCTCACCTGCCCCGTGGACATCCCAGAGACAAGAGTGAGAGACGGGGCTTGCTGATGCGGGGATGAACATCGATAATCTGTGCCAGGTCAGATTCAAGTGTTTGTTCTGAAGACCGCCTTCGTGGTCTAATGGTAGAGCGTCCGCCCGGAGAGCGGAAGGTCCGGGGTTCGATCCCCAGCCGCGTCATACCAAAAGACGTTAAAAGATGGTACTTGTTGTTACCCTGTCTGGCGCTCGGCTGAAACAAGGACTGGTCGGCTCGGAGTCAGTATACTGTGTCCGAGTGCTAGCACTATAAATCGGCATCAGTCCGGACTAGTAAAAGCAGCCACACACACACATACACGTGCATGCACGTCGCTATATAAGTGCAATAATCTTGGACGCGACGTTAAACCCCATTTCACGTCACCTGTTTGTTCTGACTTTCTATCAACCGTCATTCAAGATAAGCAGTTGTTTGTTTAGGCATGGAAACGTATTGTACGTTGCTGGTTCCAAATGTCATAAAAAACGACATACGACAAGGTATCTGTAGATCCATATGTATACGTGCGATCAACTCTTGAGATCAATTGGTTACCTTGAGATTAAATGTAGGGAGAAATGTAAACTGGTGCCCGCTGGCGGTTGTACATAGACAGTGACCTAGCATACTTGTAGGCAGACTAATATTTATTCTATTATTATGTCTCGTCAGTTAAGCCATGACAATCATATGAAAGAACTGAGACTTTCCAATTAAATCTAAACCTTCAATTGTTTTTGACTGCATGATGCATTTTCATTAAAAAACACTAGATAGCCCAGTCGCAAAAAACTAGGCCAGAAACACATGATCGTGAGTTCGAATCCACGATTCGCCCCGCTTGTTTCTAGGTATGTCAGCACCATTACCCAATACCTTCAACGTGTTCTTTGTTTCACAACGTAAGGGATCATATGGTCTTAGTGTTTTCTGTTTTCTGTTCTCTTATCTTATCTTTGATTACTTACCAACTATCTGAGAATAGATTTAGCATAAATTTATATAATTACATAAATTAAAGTTTCTCTTTTTTTACATAGTTTTTGCCTTCACGACCAGATAATGATGTCTGCAGATTCTTTCACGCGTCCTTTCTACCATAAGGGGCCACGGGTGGCCAGGTCGTCTAAGGCGTCGAGATTCGTTGTGCAGAGTTGGGTCCCTTGGGCACGCCAGACACCTATGATTGTCGGTATCCCGGTTCGCCCCGATTATGTTTCTAGGTTTGTCAGCACCATACCCGTGCTCGTGGGTTTCACCGAAGTGGTAAACGTCTGAGACCCGCATCACTTCGGGCTTTCCTCACACATTAAGCTGACACGCCGCGATATAACTGGAATACTGTTAAAAGCGGCGTAAAACTCAACTCACTCACTCACTCATTTCCTACCATACGTTCCTGTCCTACCGGTGTCCTTCAATGAAACACATCACTCTACCCATAACTAACACATGTATTGCATAAAATCTGTTCAACAACAGAGTTCGTCCTGACATCGCCTGTCATTTCCAGTTTTACCTTGACCCCATACATGACAAATTCGGATGTTATGAAAAGTATATCAATCATAATCCTTCAGCAGCGATACTGTCCATTACAAAAACGATATTCCATAATTCGGATGCAGCAAGTTCCCCCGTGCTTTGTTAGAGAGAGAGGTCGTTGCACCTTACACATGTGCTCATGAATAACTCGGCAACGATCGTTGATTTGATTTCCCATTTTCAGATATGTAAAAAATGCTTAACTTTGGAAGTGCAAACACCGATAACAACTCTCACTGTTAAAGTTGTCTCCATAAATTGACAAACCATGTTTTCTGTTATAAAGTATTCCCGTTTTTCGGATCCGACAATTACAAGCGTCTTGACAGACAGGGTGTGTGTGTGTCTGTTTGCGTCTGAAGCAGTCAATTTTCTCGGTCAAACCCCATTTCCTCTAGGTCCTCCGTTCAAACATCTACATCCTTCACGATAACTATATTTGACAACCAACTTAATTCATTATTAGGTTAAAACACCTCTTGCCTTTAATCCTACTCTAATTTACCTCAACCCGAGCTTGTCCTAGACTTTGCTCAATCTCAGCGCATTCCTTCCTAATCTTAACGTTAAGTGATCAATTCAAAGGCCTAATCTAATTCGATATGACAGAACCGTGGACCTTTGTGTGTGCTATTGGTCATTTGCATCTCTGTAAACACTTCACACTTAAAATTAGACGCATGCAAGTTGCAAACCATTGGCGGGGCTCATTGAAAACGTTAAGCTGTTCTTTGAAGGGATGCGATTCAGTTAACGACAATTCGAATCGGTTCCTATTTTGGCTAAACAAGTATGATAAAGTTTGCCAAAACTTTTTTGTACATTTGAGTTTCGTGTAATCTTATTACCATTTCTTTCTACCTGAAAATGCCGTTCATTGAATGGAGCAGAACTCGCTGATTCGATTAAATACTTGAAAGAAACTCTCATCTAAATTATTCCTAAGTATATAGAGTCGGGAACGGGAACAAGATTGTTCTTATTCATCATAATGATACTCAAGCTAATTACCCCTCTCTCGATGATCAGCTTAGTGAAATTACCGACAACCTGAATCTTGATTTACCGTCTTCATAAGCCAGATTTAGTCATCCCGCTTTTCATGTCCAAGGTCCCGTTCAAGAAAGCGATGTTAGCTCAGCTAGTGTTGTACGTCAATGTTATATATTTGTTTGTTTTGATTTAGGCTGACCATTTGGCATCCTCGATTATTTGTTTGTTTGTTGTTTAACGCTAGAGCTAGAATACTGCTTATTCCACGTAGAAAACAAAGAAGCCCAACTAGTGAGCGAGAGGGTCACTAAGAAATATTAGTAATATCATTAATTTAGACTCGTGAAGATCCGGGGTAGAATAGGTCTTCAGCAACCCATGCTTGCCGTAAAAGGCGACCATGCTTGTCGTAAGAGATGACTAACGGGATCGGCTGGTCAGGCTCGCTGACTAGGCTGATACATGTCATCGTATCTAAATTACGTACATCGATGCTCATGATGTCAATCACTAGATTGTTTGGCCCAGACTCGATTATTTACAGACCGCCGCCATATAGCTGGAATATTGCTGAGTGCGGCGTTAAACAACACACAAACAAACAAGCAAATACTAGTCAGCGAGTATGATTTCACGCTGATTTTAGCAATATTCCAACAATATCACGGGTGTAGGGGTGTGGTGGGGTGTATGGGACACCACAAAATGGGCTTCATATATTGTACCCATGTAAAATGAACCTATGCACCCATGCACAATCTAATCCGAGCTGATGCTTAACACAATCGCCTCTAGCGTCCATGTACTTACAAACCCACTGATGTCGTGACTTGTATCAAATCTTTAAACCGAATTATAGAATAGAAACGGACGACCTTTTTTCAAGCCGTAATGTAACTATGAGAACATAGGCGTGTTCACGTTGGAGTATTGACACACAGGCTGAACAAAGTCTAGTTTAGATGACTTGCCATGTCGAAGTCTGTGTGTCTCGCGAATAAACCTCCATACCTTAACTGTGTCCTGGAGGCAAATATTGTAAGTATCAATCATGAGAGGTGTCAAATTGAGTTTGAGTGGCGAGGTAATACTGCGTCGACTTTTATGCCAAGGGGTAGCCTGGTGTTTGAAGTGACGCTCGTAGGCCGCTGACACTAGGTAGCCATAAGGAAAGTTGCACACGCGAGGTAGCCATCAGGTATGCTGCACTAGCGAGTTAGCCATCAGGTATGCTGCACACGCGAGGTAGTCATAAGGTATGCTGCACACACGAGGTAGTCATAAGGTATGCTGCACACGCGAGGTAGCCATCAGGTATGCTGCACACACGAGGTAGCCAACAGGTATGCTGCACACACGAGGTAGCCATCAGGTATGTTGCACACACGAGGTAGTCATAAGGTATGCTGCACACACGAGGTAGCCATAAGGTATGCTGCACGCACGAGGTAGCCATCAGGTATGCTGCACACACGAGGTAGTCATTCGGTATACTGCACACACGAGGTAGTCATAAGGTATGCTGCACAAACGAAGTAGTCATAAGGTATGCTACACACACGAGGTAGCCATAAGGTATGTTGCACACACGAGGTAGCCATAAGGTATGTTGCACACACCAGGTAGCCATAAGGTATGTTGCACACACCGGGTAGCCATCAGGTATGCTGCACACACGAGGTAGCCATCAGGTATGCTGCACACACGAGGTAGCCATAAGGTATGCTGCACACACGAGGTAGCCATCAGGTATGCTGCACACACGAGGTAGTCATTCGGTATACTGCACACACGAGGTAGTCATAAGGTATGCTGCACACACGAAGTAGTCATAAGGTATGCTACACACACGAGGTAGCCATAAGGTATGCCGCTAACACGAGGTAGCCATCAGGTATGCTGCACACACGAGGTAGCCATAAGGTATGCTGCACACACGAGGTAGTCATAAGGTATGCTGCACACACGAGGTAGCCATCAGGTATGCTGCACACACGAGGTAGCCATAAGGTATGCCGCTAACACGAGGTAGTCATCAGGTATGCTGCACACACGAGGTAGCCATAAGGTATGCTGCACACACGAGGTAGCCATCAGGTATGCTGCACACACGAGGTAGCCATAAGATATGGCTACACACACGAGGTAGTCATAAGGTATGCTGCACACACGAGGTAGTCATAAGGTATGCTGCACACACGAGGTAGCCATCAGGTATGCTGCACACACGAGGTAGTCATACTGTATGCTGCACACACGAGGTAGCAATCAGGTATGCTGCACACATGAGGTAGTCATCAGGTATGCTGCACACACGAGGTAGCCATAAGATATGGCTACACACACGAGGTAGTCATAAGGTATGCTGCACACACGAGGTAGCCATCAGGTATGCTGCACACATGAGGGAGCCATCAGGTATGTTGCACACACGAGGTAGCCATCAGGTATGCTGCACACACGAGGTAGCCATCAGGTATGTTGCACACACGAGGTGCCATCAGGTATGTTGCACACACGAGGTAGCCATCAGGTATGCTGCACACATGAGGTAGCCATAAGGTATGTTGCACACACGAGGTAGTCATAATGTATGCTTTAGATACGAGTTAGCCATAACGTACGCTGCACACACGAGGTAGCCATCAGGTATGCTGCACACACGAGGTAGCCATAAGGTATGTTGCACACACGAGGTAGCCATCAGGTATGTTGCACACACGATGTAGCCATAAGGTATGCTGCACACACGAGGTAAATGTAGTCATAAGGTATGCTGCACACACGAGGTAGCCATAAGGTATGTTGCACACACGAGGCAGCCATCAGGTATGCTGCACACACGAGGTAGTCATAAGGTATGCTGCACACACGAGGTAGCCATAAGGTATGCTGCACACACGAGGTAGTCATAAGGTATGCTGCACACACGAGGTAGCCATAAGGTATGTTGCACACACGAGGCAGCCATCAGGTATGTTGCACACACGAGGTAGCCATAAGGTATGCTGCACACACGAGGTAGTCATTCGGTATGCTGCACACACGAGGTAGCCATCAGGTATGCTGCACACACGAGGTAGTCATAAGGTATGCTTCACACGAGAGTTAGCCACAAGATGGATGTCATTAATATGTTCCTTTATCAGTGATAATATACCTTTTCCTTTGGATCCCAGCTTGACTAAGACTTCAGGGTCCTAAGGATTCCAAATAGTTCGTTCGGTCGCTGTTAGGGGCCTACCATTTGGTATTTGTTTTGGGATGGGCGGGGGATTCCCCGAAAATTCTTGTAAACAAATAATTATGCTTCATATTGTTGGGAAATATAGGACTTGTCGGCCACAAAAATTACATTGTGGCAATGTGTTTTTTTATTATTTAAAAAAACCCCTTAGATCATAGAATTTATAGAATCCCCCCCCCCCCCCCCCCCCTAAAAAAAACAACCAAACCCCCCCCAAAAAAAACAACAACAAAAAAAACCAACAAACAGACAAACAAACAAAACAACACACCAAAAAAAACAAATACAAAACATGAATAGTCGGTCCCTTAGAGAGAGATACACTTTTTTTATCATTTCCATATTTATGTATCAATGTTATGTACAGCCTCAAACAGTGTATATATACCTGAAGCTTCAATGTATGTGCAGGAATTCTATTTAATAACCTTTATTTTTAATAAAATTAACTTATCACAAAACTGCAAATGTAAAAATGTATGCGACGTATACTGCCGGGCAAGAGAAGGTATGCACTTGAAAATTGGATTTGATTAAAACATTACAAACGTTATCAAAACGTTACTAGGAGGGAGCACGGTGCAAACTTATTGCCCAAACCACAACTATGATATCCGTATCAAATACATCCCCACCGAATAACCTTTTCCTTTTGTTTTATGTTTTAGCCAACATCAAACATGGGTGCATACTTTATTTTGTCCGGCAGTTTAGACAGGGGTGTCTTGGTGAGTTGACACACCTTTGTCACATACATTAGTGTTAATCAAATCTAGGAGACTTACTCCAAGTCTATGACGCCGTCCTTGTTGACATCCAACTTCTCCATGATCTCGTCCAACATATGCTCGGTGAAGGGAATCTTCAGCGTCTGGAGATGAGAAGAGATCAGTTATTGTCAATAACTATTTTCGTGTGTCAAACCGCTTTAGCCTGGTATGTTAAGAAGGGATTTCATAAATAACCCTATTATTTCAAAGGGATTTGACGGGGCTAGCTGCTGTCTTAGACATTTCGCTGGTTATGCCAAGAGTGTGGGAGCGAGACGGCCATTAAGGGCTTATTGGCATCAGTACAGGGCTTAAAAACAGCAATGTTCAATAACATGTAACGTTTTACCAAAGGCTGTCCACTGTACGGGTTAGTATGTCCAAATAAGGCCTAAGTAAATTTGTTAGTTTGTTTGTTTGTTATTTATCGCCGCACTCAGCAATATTCCAGGTATATGACGGCGGTCTGTAAATAATCGGGTCTGGACCAGCAATCCAGTGATTGACATCATGAGCATCGATCCACGGCATTGGGATCGATGACATGCATCAACCAGGACATATTATAATTTAATTTCAAAGTGAAGTTCATCGATGATAAGAAGCGGTGGAAAGTGGTCCTGTGTACAGCGCACAGGCCACAAATCAGAGAACGTTGGTGGCGGAGAGGAGGTGGATGGGTGACCAGGTTAAAGCATGACACCTGGGAGTTTCTTGGGCTTTGGCCCTGCCCTGATCTGAAACGCATGTTAAACTTTGGGAAAGACTTTTTTTTCGAAAAGTGCCTCTGTTCACCCGGCGGCGAGATGCTAATGATGGATGAGACTCTAGGGTCTCATAGGCAGCTTGGTTTGTTTCCTCCCCAAGGAGCAGAGTATGACACTCGAGAGCATACTGATTGACTGGGATAATACTGGTGTAGCGCTTTTTTAGCATGCTTGCGCGTGGAATCTAGCGCTTTATAAGTATACTCATTATTTATTATTTACCCCAAAAAATCAAATAACATGTATAGTACGATATAAATAATATGCAGCATGAGATTTGAAGGTCAAACATACTAAGCAACACAAATTGTTATGAGCATTGTCACAAAAAATAGGTCCCTCTTTCAAACACAAAAAGAGTTTGAGCTTGAGTTTTAGTCGTCATGACACTTAACATGATAATTTTGTTAACTTCAAACTTACAAAGAACCAATATTTCTAAAAATTGTACACGATTATTTCTGCTTAAAAGTTGAATGAGTTTGCAAAATGAGTACTTGGAAAAGCGTCCGCTAGTATATAGTCGCAGCGATACATCCTCGTTTAAAAATACCATTCTGAGACCCGTGACCAAAAGGGGATTCTATGTCTGGATATGGAACCAGTTCGGTAACCAGCCGGCTCAAATGAGAATCGGGTGGTAACAATTTCTCCTGACTGTTTGTGTATTTACACGGACAGCGTTGGTCGTTGGTACTTTCAGTACTTCTAGTAAAATGTCTGAGCCGTATTCGAGCATGCACAGCCCGCTAGAATACAGTGTGAATATTGTGGCATAATCACTTTCACTCACTCATTCGAGAATGGTGGAGTCTTCAGAGGGAACAGCTGTTACAAGCCATCAAGTTGGTTTCTTGAGTTTGCCTCAATTTCTAAATAAATTGGTTTATTTTGCCTACTAATGTACCTAGGGAAGCATCAGACCACAACCGTAACTAACATCAGAAGATGTGTGTCATCTTCTTTTAATATGAAGTAAAGACAAACGACATATTGTGCTTAATTGAATGACAAGGTTAAAACGTACCGCTTGCTTCTATAGTACGACTTATGTAAAACGTGGTGATTTTGACATCAGCGCGACATGGTGGTTCATGGGTTTTTCATTGGCTCCTTTTGAACTGATCTCTTTACCGAAATCGTTTTGCAATTTGATTTAATTTCACGACGATAGCCTCACGATCGTGTCGTCATTGGGGCGCCTTGTCAAAACCTCTTTTATCAAGGGAATCATCCTATGTTCCTTATAAGTCATTCTTCAAAATCAAAACCTTCCAATCTTAACAAAATTATACTTTTAATAGTAATGATAGTAGTATTACTGAAATCATACGACCGAGATCGTTAGCTATGGAACAGAAGTTTTTGTTTTTGTAACAAAATTCCCGATTTTAGTTTTATTACCCGCATTTAATTTTTCCACATTTTTGTACAATATACTCTGAGGGGTAATATTCTCTTAAGAATAAACAATATTTTCATTTATTCGATATGAAACCTATAAGGTTTCTACCACGCATGCTTTCAACACCGATCGGCTGTTCATTGCCTGAGAGACACATGATCTACCGTTGCTTGATTTCCGGCCGACAAACAATCCTGTTTTGATCATAAACGTCTATAAAAAGGTCAGTACGCTAGTCCTTGTAGATGCCTATTTATGTAATTAACATTACCTCCAAAACATATTTGATGTATTACGCTCGTAAATTATGCCGTCGATTGCCATGTGTACCGTTTCAGTGAATAATGGTTATTTATCCATTTTATCAGCGACGACCTGATTATGTAAAGTAGTCGAATAATCGGAAACGAACACGACCTTAATTTATAACGACAGCGCCAAGGTCCTGAAGCTCACCATATACTTTTGAGTGAGTGAGTATGGTTTAACGCCGCTTTTAGCAATATTCCAGCAATATCACACTGGGGGACACCATAATTGGGCTTCACACATTGTACCCATGTCGGGAATCGAACCCAGGTCTTCGGCGTGACGAGCGAACGTTTTACCCACTAGGCTACCCGACCGCCTCCTTATACTTTTGAAGCGAATATCCACATTACCCGTTCTCAAACGTGCAAACCCCGCGGGGATTCAAGGGCAGAATAGGTCCCCCTTACAATAAGCGTAGCAAAGGCAACCAACTGGAGAGGATTCGTGATTGTGGCTGTTTGTGTGTCATTGTACTCCGACGCAGTGGGACGATGATCAACACTGATTGGCAAAGACACGATGAGGTAAACTGCCGGGCAAAAGAAAGTATAAACCCATGTGTGTTGGTGGCCAAGAAAGAATCAAACAAGTGATGTATCTGATACGGGTAACTTAGTTGTGTATTGGACCTTATGTTTGCCGTGTTTCGGCGACTGCTTTGAGTGAGTGAGTGAGTATGGATTTACGCCGCTTCTACCAATATTCCAGCAATATCACGGTGGGGGACACCAGAAATGTGCTTCACTCATTGTACCCATGTCGGGAATCGAACCCGGGTCTTCGGCGTGACGAGCGAACGCTTTAACCACTAGGCTACCCGACCGCCCCGACTGCTTTGAGCCGAGTAACGTATGCAATGATTTGGTCAAATCCAATTTTCAAGTGTATACTGTCTTTTGACCGGCAGTTTATGATGCTATATTTGTATATAGTCCCTTGTTTACCCCTTTCGTCTGTTTCTGGGTGAGTGGGCATGGTTTACGCTGCTTTTCGAAATATTCTTGCAATATCACGGCGGGGGACACCATGGGGTTTGACGTTGCGGATAGCACTTATATAGAGACATTAATGTTTAATGCTCAACGCCAGGCATGTTAACGACAAGTATCATCTTTGAACGTAATTTGGTATGACACGACCGGGGATCAAACCCACGACCTTCCGCTCTCCGGACAGACGCTCCACCTCTAGACCACGGAGGCGGTCCCCTGTTGGTGATACTGGAGACGACCGCCTCCGTGGTCTTGTGGTAGAGCGTCCGCCCGGAGAGCGGAAGGTCCGGGGTTCGATCCCCGGCGGCGTCATACCAAAAGACGTTAAAAGATGGTACTTGTTGTTACCCTGTCTGGCGCTCGGCATTAAGGGGCTAAAACAAGGACTGGTCGGCTCAGAGTCAGTATACTGTGTCTGAGTGGGGTATTCATGTTAAACTGAGGCATGGTATCTCAGTGGGCTAGCACTATAAATCGGCATCAGCCCGGACTAGTACAAGCAGCCACACACACACGTGCATGCACGTTGCTATATAAGTGCAATAATCTTGGACGCGACGTTAAACCAGAATTGCAATTGCACCTTGATACTTGTCGATAACATAATATATATTCTTTGAAAAGACATATCATTATAATATCTGAAGAGCTACCCAGTGGTCAAATATAAATCTTCGAATACTGCAACCGTGGCATAAACATCTTTGATAAATTGTTATGTGCGCCCGTTAGATTAACAGGTTGAGTGGTTAAAAAGTGAGTGAGTGAGTTGGGTTTAATGCCGCTTTTAACAGTAGTCCAGTTATATCACGGCGTGTCAGCTTATTGTGGGAGGACAGCCCGGCGTGATACAGGTCTCAGACGTTTACCATTTCGGTGAAACCCACGAGCACGGGTATGGTGCTGACAAACCTAGAAACATAACGTGGGCGAACCGGGATTCGAACCCACAATCATAGGTTTCTGGCGTGCCCAAGGGACGCAACTCTGTACAGCGAATTGCGGCGCCTAAGACGACTGGGCCACCCGTGCCCCCGAGTGGTTAAATAGAAAAAGATGGTTACAATATCATGACTTCTTGCGGACAAAAACTAGGGAATCTACAGTGTGTGGCCACAGTATATTGTTCACGTAGTCATACGGCGGGGGACACCAGAAATGGGCTTCACACGTTGTAGCCATGTGGGGAATCGAACCCGGGGTTCGGTGTAGCGAGCGAACGCTTTAACCACTTGGCTACCCCACAGACCCAAACAATGTGGGGATCTGAACTGAAAATGTGTTACACGCAGTGGACCACGGCCCCTCTTAAGCAAAACTATGATTAATGATTGATAAATGTAACATCTTCAAGGTGGCCGGCGTCATGGTTCAGGACACATTGTTTCAAGTACAAAGGGTTTTCCAGGCTCTTGGTTTCTGTGTCACTCAAGCTGTACGGAGTGTACCATATGTTATCTGCAGCTTCCAGCTGATTGGCCGCAATACCTCATCAATATAACACCGGGTCACTATCTAAACATTCCATCAGTTACATAAACTCTGAACCATGACAGAGTGCATTTGTCAGAAACGTCAACACCAGCCCTTGCGCAATAATTTGTGGTAAATGTCATATGACGTCATCGCGGAGGTACCGAGGACAATTGTGGCACAGCTCACCTATAGTGCTATTACAACAACGAAATCATTCTATTAACAAAGGGTTTTTTATGATTTATCTGTCAGGGCTATTTCAAAGTTGAAGAGCCTGGTCAACAAATATCAGGAGTTATTTATGGTGTATAAAGTACTGATAAACTCGTTCATGCCATATCCTTGGTAAGGGCTGACTCATATATATTACAGCCCTGAATATGGCCATTTCGGAAACATTGTTGGCCACGCGGAAGCAAATACGAAGCTTACAAGTAGATTGAAAATAGTTCAACAGACAAAATAGTTTCGTCGAGAACACATGGCTTTTAACGTCTAATGGTCAAACATGGCGTCGGACGTCCGTGTTTGCTGGTTAAACTGCTAGATTGCACATGCAGGTAATTGCGTGTATTGTGTCATTAGAACGCCGGTGTGAATAAGGCATAGTTAATTATATAGGGTTGAAGGGACGTTTCATGCTATTACGCTACCGATGTTGAGACATAATGTCAACAAAGGCATATCAGCTGCAAAGTTAATCCTCAAACGTCCATGGCATTACAGGAAGCGGAAGATTGAAAACGATGATGGATTTTATTGAACTCATTTAAACATAAAACATCAACGCCCGAGAAAAAAGCCAGTGCATGACATCCGCCGAAACAGATTCCTTCGGGCAAAATAGCGATCAGCAAAATTCCAAACGGAAAAATAGCGATAAAAATTATATAAATGGATCACAGAAAACCAGCGATGACACCAGGTGTTCGCGAAAAGGGTTCGCATGAAAAGGTTGGTTGGTTTGTTGTTTAACGCCACCCTCAGCAATATTCCAGCTATATGACGGCGGTCTGTAAATAATCGAGTCTGGACCAGACAATCCAGTGATTGACATCATGAGCATCGATCCACGCAATTGGGATCGATGACATGCATCAACCAAGTCAGCGAGCCTGACCACCCGATCCCGTAAGTCGCCTTCTACGACAAGCATAGTCACCTTTTACGGCAAGCATGGGTTGCTGAAGACCTATTCTATCCGGAATCTTCACGGGTCCGCATGAAAAGGGTTGGCATGCCCTGGCCTACCGGCAGCACCCGCCACTCATACAACTGAGGAAGGTTCAGCGATAAATACATCCTGGTAATAGCTAGCTAAGACTGATACTGAATATTCTGCCAACTTGGTTGCTGGACAAAGCTGACATAGAAAGTGTCACAGTCATCGCGTGTATTTACCTTAAGACGTTCTTAGCGATAAATACGTACGGTCAACACTGACTGATTGGAACATAAATCTTCGGTTGGAAGAGTCAGAATCTGTGTTTGTTTCCTTTAAACCATCCTCACTTATTCAGTAACTTACAAAACGAAAGGGTCTTTGTCACGTATGTTAACACCAAACCCACCGTGTGGCTTATCGGGTATATTATACAGCTATTACTGAAACCAAACGAGGCACTGATAGGATTTCTTTCAAAACAGGCAAGGAAAACTTTACAGAGCTGAACAAACATTTTTCGATTTGCCTATTGGGGTCCTTGTGGCGATAGCATTCGCAAAGGACATACATCCCATTTCCAACATCGTTTCTGGGTAAATTAATGAATATTCAGAGACGTGTTCAATATGGAACAATCGAAGACCCCATTAGAGTGGGGATGGGGCCTAGCCTGATCAAGTTGTTGAGCCATCAAACCGCTTCAACCACTTCAACGACACGGTGCTACTGTTTGTCCCGGTGCTCGCCATTGTCGCTGGAGTAAATTCTATTTAGTTCTGAGCTTGTGTTCGTACGATCTAATCAATTAAGTAAAGATTTAAGCCTCGGGGTTAGATTGGACCAAACCTCATCTAGGCCACTTAAGTAATCGTGGAAAAATCCCCCCTTGCTATCGCCATCGAGGATGCTAGCTTTCGTTAATGGCTGTGATGGCATAGATAATAACCACTTAATATCTATTTTGTCTATAGGATAGGTGTGTTTAAGTCATTATAGCACGGATTTTATAACCTCAGTCAACAAAACATTCACTGATGGCAGTTAATCAGATGCTGTATCTTTTTGTTGAGTTTCGTCCAGGAACGTTGTAGATCGAATGCAATTTGAATCTAAAATGCCGAATGTTTTTTTAATCGTAGATGACAAAAATCAATCATCATCATCATCATCATCGATGTTTGTGCATATTGAGGAGTGAATGAGCAAGTGAAGTTGATTGATGTCAAAGGCAGCAACATTATGACTATACCCAGACGGCCTGTAAATACTCGAAGAAACCAGTGATTGATAGCATGAGCATCCGAGAAAGATGATCTGCATTTAACGAAGCTAACAGGGCACGCCCATTCATTGTACATCCCTCAAAACTGGCCTATTTTCGTGACGATAGGTTGTGATTTCACGTTTAAATTCGTTTGTTTGTTGTTTAACGCCGCACTCAGCAATATTACAGCTATATGAAGAGTCTGGACCTGACAATCTAGTGATTGATATCATGAGCATCGAACTACGCAATTGGGTACATCAATCACGTTAGCGAGCCTGAACCCCGACAAGCATGGTTTGCTGAAGACCAGTTCTAACTCGGATCTTCACTGGGTAAACGTTAAGTTGACTTCCTTAACTCGAACACTTTTATGTTTATTTTGTTTGTATAAAATCGAGCCAGGTGATTCCTTATCGGTATCTTTATCGTTGCTCATGATGTCAATCACTGGATTGTCTGCTCCAGATTCGATAATGTAAAGACCGCCGTTACATAGCTGGAATATTGGTGAGTGTGGCCTAAAACAAACAAACAAACACAAGAAACCTTATCGGTAATTTGGTTTCGTACTGGCACCCGTTTGTCTGGAACTACCGATAACTCGAACTGTTCTCAAAGACTTCGGGTTAAAGAGGTTTTACTGTATTTATCCAAGGATCTCCTTATGAATTCCTCAAACCCCAAGCATTAGTTACCCGAGGGCTGATCCAACAATACAATACCAAGTCTACTCAATTGAGTGAGTGAGTGAGTTATGTTTAACGCCACTTTGAGCAGTATTCCAGTTATATCACGGCGTGTCAGCTTAATGTGGGATGAAAGTCGGAAGTGATGCAGTACTCGAAGTTTACCACTTTGGTTTAACCCACGGGCACGGGTATGGTGCTGACAAACCTGGAAACATAATCGGAGCGAACCGAGATTCGAACCCAAATCACACTTGAAGCAACGACACGATGATATACTACATCTTTTAGCGTTTGCCAATACTTGCGTAAATGAACCCGTTAATATCCCGGTAGGAATAGGTCTTCAGCAACCAATGCTTGTCATAAGTGGCGATGAGGAGACGACGAACGGGATCGGTTGATCATGCTCGCTGATTTGGTTGATGCATGTCATCGTATTCCAATTGTGTGGATCGATGTTCATGACATCAATTACTGGATTGTCTGGTCCAGACTCAATTATTGACAGACCGCCGTCATATAAGGTGGAATATTGTTGAGTGCGGCGTTAACCACCAAACAAACAAACAAAATAACTTACGTTAATGCCATCTTTGAGGTTAGTCCGCGACAACTTGTCTCTCTTCTTGGTGTCGAAACTCTTGAACATGTCAATCAAACGAAGGTTGTCCATTCTCATGTACTCGAACAGAACAAGGGTGGGCTCCCACCGCGTGAGGCTAGTTCCGTCATGATCACGTGACACAGAGCCAGTGGCCAACTTCATCACGTGACCATGGATGACCTTGAAGTTCCGGGTGGCCTGGATGGTGTTCATGGTGTTGATGAAATCTGCATCGACAGGGATATCCTGGAAGAGTAAATAGGTGAGTGAGTGTTTTGTTTGCTTGTTTAACGCAGTACTTAGCATTATTCAAACTTTATGACGGCGGTCTGTAAATAATCGAGTATGGACCAGACAATCCAGTGATTGACATCATGAGCATCGATCCGTGCAACTGGGATGTAATGACATGCATCAACCAAGTCAGCGAGCCTGACCACCCGATCTCGTTAGTCGCCTCTTACGAAAAGCATAGCCGCCTTTTACCCCGGACCTTCACGGGTCTGGACACATAGAGTGGGCGAAGAGAGTTCAATTACAAATAGCCATCTGAAGGTACAGCTGGAGATTAGACATTATGAATAATTATACGTAAACTATTTCGTACATATTCCACAATACGTTTGACACACTAAAGTTGTATATGAGATTTAGATGTTATGAAGATATTTGTCATTACGGGACAGAGTCCATTAAATCAAAGACATGAGTTAGCCCCGGGCCCCACTTAACGGCACCTTCCGGTGATGGTTGCGTTACTCTCCCACTCTCTCCAAGTTATAGTGAGAGGCTTGGATGTATCGCAAGCCCCTCTATCAGATAACAATATGAAATCTGATCACCCTGCTCTGGTAGATTATAATTTTATCTATAGTCGGTTCCCCACACAGTAAGATAAATTTATCAGAAAGCTATTATTCCCTTGCCAAACCTTAGATTATCTGACACCAATGAAAATACATTTTAAATCTTCAAATAAAAATATTAATGGCCATAAATCGAGACTGTTATCTTGAAATGGTTTCCGGGTCCGTTTTTCTTAAAGGTATGGGGTAAAAATGTAAAACTCTATTGCTGGTAATAGTGGGTAGAGTGCAAACAAGTTAACTAAACAACATCACATCAAGGAATGTTTTGATGAATGACGACTTAGAAACAAACACACCGGAAGACAATCCTGCACCAGGGCAAAACATGGCGAACCGCAGTGCATCGTGGGAGTAAGATAGCGCAACAAAAAGCACTCAACATATTGCCAAAGCCACCACGGCACGCATGTATCTGAGTGATGAAGGGAGGTAAATTGATAATTTATAGCCATTCTAGTTCCCTCATGCACCCTTAACGTTTATCGTATTGCGCTCGTACACCGATAATAACATTGATTCTCCAATAAAGTGAAGGACCATCTATTTAAATTTTATGAAATGTTGTGTCATCTAATGACATATTTGCCTCCCCCATCTAACAAATTAATATTTTTGACCATTCAATGTTTAAACAAAAAACAAACATTTTAAAAACTCGAACACTTTGAAAATGAAGTATATGCATATTGACATGAACTCATTTATTGAAGGTAACTGTTAACATTTTATTTTTAGAAATATTTCTACAATCACATTCGAAAAAAGGTTCAGATTCAGAGACAGAAGTAGATTCGCAATGTGCATCAAGGGAACACAACGTCAGCAAAAACAAGCGACTAAAAACCTTCCATAATCCTGTTTCTTTTTTTTTACTTCCTCACGATTTATTTTGAAAAATGAAAAACACGACTTTACAGAAGGATTGATCCAATATTAACACGTGGTCAGGGTATATATATCAATTACGTCTTAAAATTCAGTACACTGTGGACAGTTTCATAGTTTAACACCTGTCATAACAAACCATATAAAACAGGTGAAAGGGATATAGTTAGCTGATGATTCTGCACCAATACTCAAGACAGAAACATCGTAGTTGATACCATTATTACCAGGATCAGAGTAAATATATACAGGTTCAAACGTAATGTCAATAAATCTGTCATTATGGGTATTAATGAAACTCATGAGATAAAGAGATGTAAGGAGATAAATAGCCTTCAGAAGGATATTAATAAATATAAGTATCTTGGTATAATAATGAATAAATATGATATAATGAAAGTTCCAAAATCATAAGCTCTTTTAAAAGCAGAGCCGATTGTACGATTCCGACTATATCATAAGCATGTGTTTATGAATCCCTATCCACGAGTGATGACACCATGTGATCGTGAACAGGAAGGTTTGTATGGCTTGGGGTCCAGGAAACCAGGCCTCTGCTTCGATTGATTTAAGTCACCATTCTCAAAAGGCGTCGATCGATAATTAATTGTGAAGCAAAACATTTTCAAAAAGCTCACAGCGTGAGATATCGTGAAAACAATATTTCATTTATGTCCCTTCAGTATTTCCATAGCAGGTGGAGTTATCTCCCATGCAACTTGACTCGGTTGATGATTCGCACGTTTAACGTTATTTAACAATAACGGAAACTCGGCTTTCAGTGAATGCCCACACGCCAGAGGTATTTTTTTACAGACAGATTACAGTGGAAAACTGAAAGAAAAGACACTTCCCGAATAACTTCACATTTCAATCATCGGCAAAATGCTCAAACTCGCTGAAGCCGGTATCCAGTTGAGATTGCTGCTTCTCGAATGCCCTTTGATCTATTATCTTAATCTTATCCGTTAAAAACATCTGAAGCTTTTGTTCGCATGTGATTTATTCTCAACATAAAGGCTGGTGACTGGCAAGTTGTCGCCCCACTTCACCAGCAAGTGATTTCACTAACACGGTAATGCACCTATCACCTTGCCATTAATGGAAACATCGCCGGTAACAACTGCACCTGAGTTAAACACGAAGGTGAATATAAAAAATCCATTTAAATTGTTTTTGTGGGTTGTGAAGCTTGAAGCCTGTTATAAACACTGTCCTGTATGTTTTTATTGATTGTCTTGTCGTGGTACAGGTAGATACAATGCAAGACACACTCTCCTACATTACAGGTAGACACACGATACCACCCACTCTCCACATTACAAGCTACGACACGCTTCCATTACCTGTTTGTTTGTTACGTTAAACCCCTTTTTTCCCCACTTGAGCATTAATAAACAATTTATGATTTATGCGTATCGTTCATTAATGGCAAAGCCGTCTCGGGTGTTGAGAAATAGACGGTTCCAAGTTAATATTTAATGTTTGACGTGTGATCTCTCAAGCATCGCATCTTGAAATGTGCTTATCATTTAATACATGTAAATGTACGTGGATATGTGTCCTTTATTCATTGATTCAACGCATCGTACAAATGGATATTGATAGACAACGTTTTCCCCCAGTGTTTAACTATAACACATTAATATACATGTTCCCTTGATGTCATGTACATAATCGATTTAACAATAAACAAATGGCAAGTGATTCAATACAGTGTGTGAAGAAGTACCATAGAATAGCTGACCCGTGAAGATTGTTGTTTAATATTCAGCAATATTCCAGCGATACGACGGCGGTCTGTAAATAATCGAGTCTGGACCAGACAATCCAGTGATTGACATCATGAGCATCGATCCACGCAATCGGAATCGATGACATGCATCAACCAAGTCAGCGAGCCTGACCGCCGGACCCCGTAGTCGCCTCTAAGGACAAGCACAGTCGCCTTTTACGGCAAACATGGGTTGTTGAAGACCTATTCTACCCCGGATCTTTACGGGTCTACAAATAAGTGGTGTATATTTAGACAAAGTATAAATGATCTATTATTATGAGTATCAAAGCACGTACTTCCAGAGACAGCTCTGTCAGTTGAGACTCCTTACAGTCCGCCATCGCCTTCAGCAGCTGGTTAGCGCCATCTGTCGTCATGGGGTTGTGTCCCAGCTAGGGGTAATGCAAAATATATAATAAATCCTGAAAAAGTCATTGCCCGTACCATCATAATTATATATAAAGGTCATCTAAACATGTCCAGGTTCCACTGAACGTTGGTGTACCATTTATTCAAACGTAAGTATTGTAAAACTGAACGTTTGTGTACCAATTATTATAACGTAAGTATTCTACCACTGAACGTTGGTGTACCATTTATTCAAACGTAAGTATTGTACCACTGAACGTTGGTGTACTATTTATTATAACGTAAGTATTGTACCACTGAACGTTGGTGTACCATTCAAACGTGAGAATTGTACCACTGAACGTTGGTGTACCATTCAAACGTAAGTATTGTACCACTGAACGTTGGTGTATCATTCCACCCAAGATAAGCATTATACCACTGAAAAGAATCGTAACATAATTCAAAGGTAGTAAATGTAGCACTTACATAGTAAAGAACTCGGAGAATAACAAAACGATAAGTATATCAGTGCCGTAGCCAGCCGGGGTGGGTGTGTGTGTGTTAACTTGAATAAAAAATGAATAATCTTATTTGCCCCCCGTCAAAAAAAGTTAACTACGGCCTTGTATATGCTTGCAGGTTAGGCTAATAACTGCGTTCACACTTTGGTATTTAGCTTTAAATCCACTACACCTTATCGTGGTTTTTGGTAAATTAAATAACGAAACCAATGTTGAACACCTTATGTTAAAATCTCTCTTATGGATTATACCTAATAATTTGCTGATCACACTGAGTTACAACGACGTAAATATGAAGCTGACTATCCAGTTGTGAGGTGAAAACACGGCATGTGCGTCTAAGGTCAAGGTTACTACGATGTTATTTATAGCACACTGTCAATGCAAGAAGTCCGTGCACGCAGCAGACGTCAAGTGACATAAAACATGGCGAGTCATGGTTGGTAATGATGAACAGAAGACTTCCCTGACTACATCAGTGTCAACTGACCTACGCGTGAGTACGTCTGTGTATTTTTTCAGCATATTTATTTAAGATTATCTATATCATGTTTGGAAGGATTGTCCCAGTGCTCTTACACTTCGGATGTCGCCGAGTGGCGTCTCAATGTCCCATACTCATTAAGGGCGGATCCAACATTTTTATAAGGGAGGGGTCCAAAATATCAAATTCCTCTCAGAAAACTTTACTGCCTACATATACTAACTACATGGGGTTTTCAAAAGGCGGGGGCCTGGGCCCATCTGGACCCGCCTGGACCCGCCTATGCTCATAGCCGCGAAAGGTTCGAGTGCCAATTCTCCATCTGGACAGCATGTCACTGTCGACACACTCGTGCTTGTGAGCACAGGAACTCGGTGATAGCGTGTATAGCATAATATATTCGTATCGAAAAAAACCTACCCCTCTATATAGATTTATATATACAGAGAGGTATGATTTTTTTCTATACGAATATATTATGCTATACACGCTATCATCGATTTCCTGTGCTTGTGAGTTAATTGGTAACTTTAGGCTATCTTCCCACGTTATGCCTCACAAGTATCGTTATTTCTGTATTGGAAGCCATGGCCCATGTACATATATGAAAGAGCTAAGTGGTAAGTGATTTACAGGAGGCAGCCCATTTGTAACTATTACTGATTTGACAGTTTTGAGAATCGTATACTCAAGGCTTTTTTTCACATATTTGGCCACATTCAAAAGTACAAACTGATTACAGTAAACTACGGTTATAACGAACACGCTTATAACGAACTGACTGATATAACGAACTTACTTCTTTGGTCCCGACGACTTGCTGTAGTTATGCTGTATATGTGTTTATAAGGAACTACGGTTATAACGAACTAAAATTAGTAGTCCCTTTGAGTTCGTTATAACCGTAGTTTACTGTACTTCAGTTTACCAGCCCTTTTAGCGAAAACACCCTCTACTGTTATATATATCGGGTACATTACTCTTAAAATCAAAATATGAAGGACATATAAACAAGAAATGTACTTCATCTTAAATTCAGCCAGACTTGCACATTTCAGAAAGCCGATGATCATATTCATCAATACATAATCGTCTTCTAAGGCTACTACGAATGGGCACTTCACATAGCCTTAAAAGACAAAGAAAACGTCTAAACCTCTATTTCTAATGCCCGTAACATACAATTATGTACCAGATAATAATTTTGAATTGATAACATATTCTTGATTCACACATCTTTACATCAAGTATCTACATAACACAACGATGTTTAAACATACTTAAAAATCGCTTTACATTTCCCACACTTTGTGCATTCCGAAAATCTCACAATCCATAAATATTCGACCCGTGAAGGGTAGTATAGGTCTTCAGCAACCCATGCTTGTCGTTAGAGGCGACTGACGGGATCGGGTGGTCAGGCTCGCTGACTTGGTTGATGCAGGTCATCAATCCCAATTGCGTGGATCGATGCTCATGATGTCAATCACTGGATTGTCTGGTCCAGACTCGATTATTTACAGACCGCCGTCATATAGCTGAAATATTGCTTAGTGTGGCGTATAACAACAAACCAACCAACCAACCAACCATAAATATTCAGCAGATGTTTAACATGTGATGCCCGTGTGATTTTTCCACCGTCATCTACTATTTTCATAAACATATAACATTGTCATCGTGCCTTGACGTTCGTGAAATACTGCTCAAACCGGCGTTTTACCTAAATGATTATCTTATTTCATAACACGGGGTTTTGAGTATACCGGTAAGTTGCCAAGATATCATATGGGACATCAGTCCCCCCTTATCCCCGACCTGTTAACTGCAACAACGAAAACTATTGGTGTTTGTTTGTTGTTTAACGCCGCACTCGTTAGTCCAGCCAAAATGTAACTCCATTTTACCAGCCTAGTTCGGCAAGGGTGGAAACTGGACTTTTATAGTCATTTAACTCTCTTGCCTCTGGAAGATGAGTCACCTGTTACGGCAAGCATAGGTTGCTGAAGAACTATTCTACCCCGGATCTTCACGGGTCAATCTTCACTGCAGATCAGGGTATATAATATTACAGCTCAGTACTTTACTTCAATCGGTGAATGACAAGTTCTAAATTATGATATTTCATTTTGGTGAGTTGATATCGGGTTTGGCGTCGCGAACAAGAATTTTGCACATCATAATGCGTACGTGCCCGCGCTTGTACCTGTCTTATAGTGCTAGCCTACTGAGATACCAAACCGGAGTTTAACGTGGATACCCCGCTCTGACAGAAACAGTTTCATCTTGCTATGAATGAAGTTGGTCTCAGATTATTTTACACTGTCATTCATAAACAAAACTTTTACTTTAAAACTTAAAATTTGTTCGAAATAACGTCAACCTCGCAATTAAAAAAGCCACCTACGAATATTTGCGCAATCATAGTCAATGTCCGCATCTCTGAAAAAGAGTAATAAAATCACAATTTTCTCAATTTTACACGTTATTCGGCGTACAGACAATTCGTATAGGTATTATACTGCGATTGACGTATAAGACGCCGATCAGTGACAATCCTTTTGATGAAGACTAAGATCAGAAAGTATGATGGAAGTACCTTAACTGTATGGAGACCCTTGTTAAGCACCAGCCCATGCGCCAGAAAGCTGAGAGACTGGAAGTCTATTCTATTGCACGTAAGATCCAGTTCTTGTAGGGACGAGTTGACCTTTAGAGCCTTGGCTAACGCCAGACATCCCTCCTTGGCAAACCCATTCCACGCCACGTTCAGCAATTTCAAACTCTTGTTTTTCTGTAAATATAGTTAGGTATGCAGGTATTAGGTTTGTAAAAATACATTGTGGTGGGTTTATATACGATAAATTTGACACATGAAGATGCAGGAATATTGCTAAAAGCGGCGTAAAAGCCATTCTCACTTACGCGTGTATGTCTTTTTTCGAATGAACAATTGATTAGACTTTGCATGTGTTTGTGACGGGTGGGGCAGGATGCGCTCATCTTATCGCGAACACCTGGTATCATCACTATTGGCATATCATCACGACATGCTTATGACATGCTTACTTTTTAAATGGAAATATATGTTAAAGTTGTAAATCAAAATGTTTGGTAACACATCTTTTTCTTGTCGAATTTTCCCTGTTATTCCCATTTCCTGGATGTGTACAATCTGGCACTGATACACATAGATACGGGACCTTTGCTGGCAGTGTGATTCTGCACTATGCACTAACCTTAGCGAGATACAAAAGTCCAAGAGAGAATTTCCAATCAGGTTTAGGGGAGGGTGTACTGTTGGCCCAGTGATCTGAGGCAACTCGCAGAGTAACGCCTCTTAGTACCGGGAGCCAAGATCCCATATTCGCGCTGAGTATGATCCGCGTATGATCATGATCCTAAGTGGTAAACGTCACACAGGGAAGTGAGTGAGTGAGTGAGTATGGCTTTAAGCAGCTTTTAGCAATATTCCCGCAATATCACAGCGAGGCACACAGGAAAATGGGCTTCACGTATTGTACCTATGCGGGGAATCGAACCCGGGTCTTTGGCTTGACGAGCCAACGCTTTATCCACTAGGCTGCCCCACCAACCCCACACAGGGGAAGTAATTGGAATGCTGTTCAAATAGGCATTAAACCAGACTCACTCACTCAAACCAGACACACTTGCTTTCCTGCTGAGGTATCATGTCTCCGTTTTAGATATAGAATTATGTGTTGAACTGGCCATCCAGCCAAATAATTTAAAAAGTCTCGATGCAGATTTCAATACAATCGATCACACTCGGAAAATATTTCGCAAGAAATCATTTCTACATTGGCAGAGACGCAGTGCAACTTTGTATTTGGTAATTAAATAGTTTCACTCGTCAATGCAAATTTCAGACGCGGCTTGTTTGAGGAGTATATTTTACTAGTCGACCCACATCTGTTGTAGTGTTCAGCGCCTGATAGATGTTCATACAGCAGTTAAATCAGGGCTCCTTTCTCAAATATTGAACTTTCCATGAGTTCATCAGATCTGTATACCCTGCAACACACTTAATCATGTACTCCGCGGGGATAATCCTGCAATTGCCTATCAGTCTAGCTAAAAGGGTTAATTGAGGCTGCCATCAATACTGTCTGCGTTTTAACAAATAAAATGTATTTAAAAATCAAACACCCATTCCCATGGCTCTCTAGAGAAACTCCCCTCAGAGCAGACAGTTGGTCCCATGTCGAGAGACTCTGACCTAGAAGTGTTTTCTAACATGGAGGGCAAACAGCTTTAAGGGGGCAAGGGTGACAAGAACAGAAAGCGAGGTCTCTGTTCCAGAGGATGAGAGGACGCTTACCGCCAAAGCCTTGCTAAGCTCCACAGCACTCTCGCGTCTCAAGTGATTCCACTGCAGGTCCAGTGTACGGAGCCCGGTGCTTGTGACTGCGGGAATGAGAGAAAGATGGTTGGAAGGATGGGGAATAACTAACACGATATTTAAAGGAGAAAAACAATTTCTGGACTGAATGAATTTGTAGTTTGGAGTGGTGAGTGCTCAGTTGGATGACTTAGTAAGAGGGAACACTTGTCGGTATAATTAGAAATCTGTCACTTAGGCACTGTGAGGAGTTTCTGATTTTGAACATTGGTCCATGCAATTAATTGTTATTGATTTTTGCGTGATACTTTACAGTAAATACTTCTTTGGTTCTTGGGGAGAGGCGGAACACTTAACGGCCCCTCAAAGAAATTACTTATTTCAAACAAAACGTGAACTACAAGTTGACAAGTAACGTAAAACGTTGGCAGAATGTGTTCTTCAGAAAGTTGTATCAAACTGAACGAACGAATGGTTGGAAACAAAACGTTTCAACAAATAGACATTTCAGATAAGTTGAATTCTGTATTAAGTCCATGTTTCAACCATCCCTAATGTTAAAATATTGAAAGCATTTAAGGAACAGGTTTCCCAGTGAAGGATCGCTAGCCGAAATTACAGACGGTAATATCCGTCTCGTTTGTCCAGTTCTCCTTTTGAAAACTCGATAACGCCAATCAAATCCTATCGCCAATGACTTAACCATAGCATGTGAAGTTGTTAAATAATTGCGAATAATGGACCTACCCTACGGCCATGATCCCATTTAATGCGTATTTTCTACTCTTGGTTTTTTTTCTAAACTGAATGTATGTTCTTGTTATCCGTCTTTAAAAGGGCAACAAAACAACAGTTTCCGTGCTAAATCAGCTACTGCTTGAAGCGCCCGTTAAATTCCTCTATTATCTGAGAACTCGGATGTGCCTTATTAAATGACAAATTTCAATTAAGTACATTCACATGGCATTCGTCATTAGTCTCCGGGCGACACTGGTGAAGCAATTATTTAATATCATCCACCAATTTAAAATAAATACTTCATGGACAATAATATGAAGTAAGTTGTATCTATGGATAATCGTATTTAGAGTTTTGTTTGTTGTTTAGCGCCGCACTCAGCAATATCCCAGCTGTGTGACGTCTTTCTTTAAATAACTTAATCTGGACCAGACAATCCAGTGATTGACATGAGCATCGATGTTCGCAATAAGCATACGATGACTTGCAGTCAACAAAGCCTGACCACCGAATCTGTCTTACAAGCTGGGTTGCTGGGGATCAGTTCTAACCCCTCGTGTCGTGAGGAAAACACAGACTTACATTGACACTTAGATAAAGCTGGAATAGTGCTGGTTGGACCCGTGGTAAAAACATTTGCGTTGATCGTTGGTCATAATATCAATCACAGGTTTGTCTGGTCTAGACTCCATTATTTACAGAACACCGACATAGCTGGAATAATGCTGAGCGTTGCGGTAAACAACAAACGAACGCGTGCCATGCACAATAACGGAAATAACAGGCATTCAACCCATTGGTTAAAGCGTTGGCTCGTCATGAAGAAAACCCGGGTTCGATTCCCAACGTTTGTACAAACTGTGAAACTAATTTCTGGTATTTCCGCCGTAATATTGCTAAAAGCAGTGCAGATTCCTAGCCACTCCAGTGTTAGTCCTATTGTCATTGCCAAACTGCCAAACAGTTAAGGTATCATGAGGACCAGTAGAATTGTACCATTTTTAAGGGTTTTGCTATATGTTGTCATTATATGGACTATTGGACGAAAACCCGTGAAGATCCGGGGTAGAATAGGTCTTCAGCAACCCATGCTTGCCGTTAAAGGCGACTTTGCTTGTCGTAAGAGGCGACTAACTGGATCGGGTTGTCAGGCTCGCTGACTTGGTTGATACATGTCACCGTATCCCAATTGCGTGGATCAGCTGGATTATTGCTGAGTGCGGCGTGTAACAACGGAAATACAATTACCAAAAACAAACTAGTCGACTAAAACTGTTCTATCAGGGAGCTCGCTCGTATTTCGACTGTCTTTTTAAATATTGCAAGTATGTAATAATTACGGAGATATTGTTGTTGGAAGGTCAGGAACTTACTGAGAGCCTCTGCGATGACTTTGCCTCCCGCTGCCCCAAGTCTGTTGTGTCCCAGGTGTAATTCCTGAAGCTTAGGACACGACTGGAATAGAACACATCCATTGTTAAGGCACCTACTGAGTCTCCGCGGGCACCTGCTGGGGCCGGGTTGTGGATTATGCAGAAAACGTCTAGCACAGCAGTACGTTAGCTTTATTTAAGACGAACGTGGTCTGGTTTATATTTAGGTAAAGGTCTTGTTATTAAAATTAAGTGAAAAAAAAAGAAAATTACCCTTTTGGGTAAAATGTCAGACATAGGGGATAATTCGCTGCGGTGTATATAATGGTTAGTCAATGGGATTACCTACCAGGTAACCGGCGATATCGGGGAGTAATTAGAACAAATGCAAGAAAGGCAGTTTGACGATGACAGCGGGATCCGTTAGCGTTTTCTTTTATGTTTAACGTCAGTACTTTGTTTATAGATCCGTAGACTCAAAATTTCACATATGTGGAATACAATGAAAATTTCGAAAAGACTGTTAATAATTTTCAGTTATGAAAAATAATTAACGTATGTCTATATGGGAATCGAATTTACCCTTTGACACCTTAAAGTTTGGTTTTATTTCATGCAATAATTTTTCTTTATTTAGTCACTTGCAGAAACGTGTGGTGTTTTCTATGAGTTTAAGTTTTATTTCAGGGGACGGTTGGGTAGCATAGTGCTGAAAGCGCTGTTTAGTCACGCTGAAGGTTCGATTCCACACATGTGTACAATGTGAGAAGCCTATTCTGGTGTCCTCCGCCGTGATATTGCTGGAATATTGCTGAAAAGCGGCGTAAAACCTCACTAACTTACTCTTAATTCGTCAACTGACTCTTAAAGAGCTCTAAAGAATATCGAACCAAGTGATCAATACAGAAGGTTCAGTACAAACGTAACGTCAGTGAATCTCTGGCTAACATTGATAATACTTGTCCGAATCAGAATGAGAATCGTTACGTAGAATTTCTAAACAGCAGAACACACACGTTGAATTCGAAAATTAGAAACAGCCTCACTGGTCCAGGTCGGCGGTTCAATCCCAGCCCGCGCCATACCAAAAGACGTTAAAGAGCATGTTACTGAAGAAAAATTATTGCGATTTTGATGCGAATATCAATTTTCCAAGATACATTCAGTCAATTTCCGTGGGAGAAAAATTCCTTATATTCGTAAAAAGTATTCAAATGTCCAAGTGAAAGTGCAGAAATCGCACGCTCAGTAATCGGATTCCAAAACAAATATACTTCGGAGCGTGGTCTAAAGGCACCGGCGCAGCGGTGCAACGGGGCGTTAAAAAGTTTTCATTGGCTGCTTTAGTGATTCCTGGCAGCTGTTGTTGCTACCCTGCCTGGCGCCACGCATACATTACATGTCTCTATATAAGTGCGAAACCCCATTTCACCCTACCTCATTTGGATTATAGGATGAACAGAACGTAGTTGTTCGGGCACAAACTTGCTGATAAAGCGGAAAGCAGTACTTAAGTCATTAGTAGTTCCATAAAACTACAAAGCTAACTGCACAAGAAAGAGGCAGAGGCGGATCCAGGATTTTACAAAAAATAAGAGTCCACATTTAAACCTTCAGTTTGTTTGTTTGTTTGTTTGTTGTTTAACGCCGCACTCCGCACGCCGTATTCCAGCTATATGACGGCAGTCTGTAAATAATCGAGTGTGGACCAGACAATCCAGTGATTGAAATCATGAGCATCGATCCTCCATTGGGAACGATGACATGCATCAACCAAGTCAGCGAGCCTGACAACCCGATCCCGTTAGTCGCCCCTTACGACAAGCATAGTCGCCTTTTCAGGCAAGCATTGGTTGCTGAAGACCTATTCTACCTCGGATCTTCACGGGTCTAAAGCTTCAGTGGTGGAGAGAGAGTCCACCTAAAACATCACTAACATGATATGTAAACCATTATTGATTTTACTAAACAAGCAAATGAACATGTCTTTATGGTAACATTATAATATGTTTTACATTTGAAAACCCCCAGAACTCCCCCACCTCCTTTCCTCTCTGGATACGTCACTGTAACGGATAAAATTTAATATATTAAGATAAGTATGTTATGTAATTTCACGAGAGAAACGAATAAACCCCACAGCTACACTGCAGATTTGAAAGGGCACGAATACATCGGGCACCTAGGAAAGTGCACGTGGATGCGTCTCCTCGTTAGAGTTACCTCCCTTACACTATGAGCGCTTACCTTGATGATGCTGGCGATGTCCAGTGCATCTGTGTGGTCGATGTCGTTTTCTGTGGAAAGACATGGTCAACATTACCAGATTATACTGTGTGTTTTATCAATAACATCTCGTCTCTTTAATTAATAACATCTATGTGTGATGATATCACAAGGTTATCGCGGATTTCTAATTATGTACTGGTCGCATTGCGTGGTATGATGAGATTAATACATGAGAGATCTTCAGATATTGCACTTGATAAGTGTGACATTATCGTTACATTAATATTTCAAAAACCATCACTCACAGTGTTCAGCTGAACTAGTGTATGGAATTTCCTGCTCGAGCGGGAGCATGCTTTTATCCATTCTTGAAACAGATCAGCCTCGGTTATGCAGGGAATAGTTATATACAACACAGGATGCAGTGTTTATACTGCCCTGGAGCTGAGGCTGATATGAATTGTGAAGTTGGGTATACGGGAGAGGCACTGATATAAGGCGACCCAATTCGCCATGCAGAGTTGCGTACCTTAGCCGTGACAGGATCCTACCCAGATTTGACCCCATTTTTATCCATGGTCAGTGCCATTCCCACCAAAAACTAAAGCCTTGAGCTTTCTTCTAATGCCAGTGCAACGTTAAATCTTAACTCTTCTCTCACTCACTTGGACTTTCTTCAGCTGACACGCCGTGATGTAAGTGTTCAAGCGGCGTTAATATATATCCTACTCACTCACTAGTTTATTCACTTGAATCATAAATGTTATGATATCACATGTGTAATTACAGACAAATCAAAATTAAAATTAGAATCGGTTTTCGTTTACTCAGTTGTTATCCCCTCATTCCTATTTTTATAAGAGTCAATTAAATAAGTATAGAATGTGATTATTAAACGAATGGTGGTACAATATATTTAATTGGACGAAAATGAGTAATCGGTCCCCGATGATTTTCGCTGTTTACGCTATGTAGGTCTAATCTCACCTTCTAGTTTAAGTACCCGTATAGAGTTGTTTAATCTCAGTGTTTCTGCCAGAGCGCCCAAGCCGCTTCGACATGGGTTTGTCTGTGAGAGATTCTGTTAACAAAGGCAGGATAAATAACGCTCTTGGTAGAGATAGGGCTAACATCGGTTATACGAAGACGGGAAAAGCAAACAGCGCTATACCGAAGACAATTGACAAAGAGAAGCGATCTTACAGTTTGTTCACGTCTGGACCAGACAATCCAGTGATTGGCACCATGAGCATCGATCTACGTATGATTGGGATACAATGACATGCATTAACCCAGTCAGCGAGCCTGACCACCCGATCCCGTTAGTCGCCTTTTAAAGCAAGCATGGGTTGCTGAAGGCCTATTCTAATCTTACAGAAATGATTGCCATCAATTAGTTTATGGGAAGCCTGTATCTAGCAATAAATATACTTGATTGTTTCTTCAAAATGTCTGGACTTAAAATAAATATTGATAAAACAAAAGCCATATGGATCGGGTCGAAAGCAGGGAGCTCAACAAATATTTGTGAAGACTTAAAGTTAGACTGGCATGTAGGCAATTTTGAAGTGTTAGGAATTATTCTCAACCCCCATTTGCAAGGGTTATGGGTTATCAATACCCGAAAAAGACTTGAAACAATAAATAGGCAATTGGCAAACTGGAGAAGAAGAAACTTGACTCTTATAGGTAAAATTACTGTTATCAAGTCATTGGCTCTCTCAACTCTTGTCCATATTTTTATGGCACTGCCAAACCCCCCAAAAGATTTTATTACAAACTTAAATAAAATGTTGTTTAGTTTTTTATGGAATAATAAACCAGATAAAATTAAAAGGCAAAATCTGAAAAAAAATTATGCTGATGGTTGGCTTAGAATGGTGGACATTAAAATATTTATAGAATCACTAAAATTATCTACATTAAGAAAGTATTTAAAAAAGAGTACATATGATAATCCCTCAGTTTTTTCTTTCACTGAAATGATAAATTTAGGAGTCAATGCTGATAAATATTTATGTGTGAAAAACCCTTTTTGGAGAGATGTTTTAAATGTTTGGGGAAATTACGGCAGAAAATTTACAACAAATTCAGAAAGGATTTCCGAAATTCTATCACAGCCCCTATGGCTAAATCACCAATTTAAACATGAAAACTACATAATTAAAAATTGGTTTAAAAAGGATATAATGACAATTAAGGACTTATGTAATGAGAATGGATTTTTGCCATTTGAAATATTAAAAGTACGTTATGATATACAGGGTACAATATTAGATTATAATAAGGTGAAACTTAGTATACCTAAAGAATGGAGAGACACTGTCAATCATTATATCAAAATACCAATATATGACTTAAATCTTAGTCCACAATTGAGGGATATATTTATATCCGTTCAAGGATCTAGGTACTTTTATGATAGACTAATTACAATAACAAAACCACCCTCAGTAAATGGAAAATGGCAATCTCTTTTTGATAATGATATTCAATGGAAAGAAGTTTTAATCAAATTTCAGAAAATGTACTAAAGATACTAAATTGATTGACTTTCAGTTTAAGTTTATCCATAGAATAATTTACACCAAAAAGGAATTATTAAAAATGAACTAGTTGATAATGATATTTGCTCCTTTTGTGACTTAAATGGCGAAAACCTTATACATGTATATTGGGAATGTGAATATGTTAAACACTTTTGGAGCAAACTGGAAACCTTTTTAAACCGTGACACAAATACTAGGATCTCATTTACCAAATACTCAGTTATTTTTGGATTCGACAAAAATAAACTTTTACTTAATCATATTATAATATCCAGTAAAAGATATATATATATATATCAAGTATTAAGGGTGAGAAACCAATTTTGATAATTTTAGGAAAATACTAAAAGAGTCAGCGATGATTGAAAAATTCATTGCCACAAAAAACAATGGTCTATTACAATTTGAACGAAAATGGGGAAAAATCCTACACAAATTAAAAAAATAATCATGCCCTGTACAATAAGGCTATAGATCAGTTTCGCCTCAAATAGCAATACTATCATAATTGTTTTAGTTATAGCAAACTATCGGTACAACTTTTCATGCTCTTCTTGAGGCATATCGTGTGTGCGTGTGCGTGTGCGTGTGCGTGTGCGTGTGTGTGTGAGAGAGTTATGCATGCTATGTTTATATCACAAGAAATGTACATCCATGTAACGTATTTTCACTACAATTGACTAAACCTACTGTGTAACCTCTGAACCTGATGTACAACCCCTTGAAAGGAATAAAAAATGTCCAAAAAGTTTATTGGAAGATCGAGTTAGGATTAAGATAAATTATGAGTAGTCAAATGTATTTTTTATATTACGCTTTCGAAATAATAAGTTTATGGTGACGGAAGACTTATTATTAACAGGGGCGTACAGTCTGCATTACCCAACACACATCACTCTACTGACTCTGAACTCATTCGCTCACCTATGTTGTTTAATGTTTGGTTAACGAAGACATGAACATAAAATATTCTTAATGTATGAGAACGGGTTTGTTCCTTTGACAACAAAGTACAAACTCTGGTGTGGTGCCAGAACATATCAATACGTCAACTCATGGCACATCCATGAATAAATCCAACCAGGCTACCATGAAAGCCTTCTCAATGTCTCCACACACTTGTCAGTTTGTTATATAGTGTCTTGACTTCAAAAAGGAAAGGTAAAATTACAGACAACTCAGAAGTAATATCTGGAGACAGTTAAAATGGTTTAAAAAATTCAGTTTCCTCATAAAATGGACGCCCTGTGAAGATCAGGGATAGACTAGGTTTTCAGCAACCCAGGCGGCTTTGCTTGTAAGAGCCGACTGATGGATGGGGTGGTCAGGCTCGTTGACTTGGTTGATGCATGTCATCGTATCCCAATTGCGTGGATCGATGCTCATGGCATCAGTCACTAGATTGTCTGGTCTAGACTCGATTATTTCCAGACTGCCGTCATATAGCTGGAATATTGCGGAGTGAACAAACAAAAATAAATAAGAAAATGGACATTATTTAAATCATCATAAGTTTAGTTTTCATTTCATCCCTTTTAAGATGAGATGTATGAGAAACGGAGACTTAGACCGACGATTTTAAATAATACATGCTCAAAATGAGAAATATCAATTCTGTTATTGATATTATTTCAGGTGGAATGAATGACATCCCGTCTCCAGGGAAATGAAATAAAATGAAATGAGATATTAAAGCAGAAAGTACACGTCACTAAAACGCAATATCCATGGAGTCTTTACCATGTGGTTCATGAAGTAAACAATGGGGGTATTGTCATGCAGCTTGAAAACCAATCTCTACAAAGGGCATAAATAAATCTCATTGTTCGCGTATCTAAGTGAGAAACAGCTGCCGCACAATATAGTTGGCTTTGGCGGTTGAATGTGGTTGACAATGAATGTCATTTGATTGATTTCTAATCAGAACAGAATTATTCCAGTTTGCTGTAACTTTGGAGAATATCTGATGGCCTTTTCTTAATTAAACATTGTGCCTGAGATATTTACATGTACTGAAGTATTCTTTACATAAATATTTGGTTTCAAACACAGCACTCCATTGCACTTCTGTCCGGAGAGAGAAACGTCGGTTGTTCGATCCCCGGCTGCGTCATACCAAATGACGATAAAAGATGACACTTGTTGTTACCCTGCCTAGCGCTCGGCAATAAGGTGATAAAACATGGACTGGTCTGCTCGAAGTCAGTTTCAATGTGATTGAGTGATGCTGACGCCGTTATATAACTGAAATGATGTCCAAATCAGCTTTAACCTAATTCCCTCTTACTGGTATGTATCACTATTGGTCTGCAGCTACTGACCAGTTCAATAAGGTGTCTGTTGGCCTGCATCATCTCCGCTATGTACATCACCCCCACGGGACCCATGTTGTTGTCCGACAGGTCGAGCACCACGATCGTCCGGTCTTTCTGGCGAGTAAACAAAACACATTGTTCAAGTGAGTGTGTGTGTATGGTTTACGCCGCTTTTGCAATATTCCAGCAATATCACGACAGGGGACACCAGAAATGGTCTTCAATGGGCGTAAAACCATACTCACTCACTACTGAGAAACTATTCTAACCCGGATTCCACGGCAATCTCATTAAAATCAGATCTTTGTTCTCGCTGCCGCTAACTTTGTTTAGCGGTAGCGAGAACTAAGGTCTGATTTTAATGAGATTGGATTCCACGGCGGTGAAGATATCAGTGCTTAGAGACCTAACAATTAATATTCGGGGAGGGCGAGATGTGCTGACGTTACAACAAAATTATTGAACGTTCTAAGGTTAATGTGTCATTTATAAAAATCTTCTTTTTTTTAAGATAAACGTTTATATACCCTCCCATAATATAAGAGGTCGGTCCAATGGAAATTAACATGTACTTACCACTAACGATATAGCTATGGGCTTGATCTCTTTTGGCCCAAGATGCATACCCCGGAGACAGACGGAGACTTTCGTCGCCTGTTCCCTGAAGGCCCCGCAGGGGGGCAGACGACAGTTCTCGCACGCCTTGGAGTACACCATGTCGGTTGTTATCTTCCGCTTCTTGGAGCGACGCCGAATATCCTCTGAAATATCGTAGGTCGGAGAGAGACGTTGAAAACATGTCCGGATATTTGAAAGATTTGTGGAGACTAAGCACATAATCCGATTAAATCGAACACGAAGACTCAAACATTAGCTGAAGAATTTCCAGGATCTTCATTTTTCCTCCAAATGTGTTTAACTATACATGGTAGTCTGGTAGTAGAGCGCCTGCCAGGAGAGCGGAAGGTCGGGGGATCGATCCCCGGCCGCGTGACACCAAAAGACGTTAAAAGATGGTACTTGTTGTTACCCTGCCTGGCGCTCGGCATTAAGGGGATTGAACAAGGACACATATACGACTTTTGAGAGCGTTATTTATCCGTAACCTCATTCCATGCGGAACACAACCGGAATGCGTTGTAAATATTATGTAATAACAGCACATTTCTTATAATTCCTTTCAATCAAACTGTCTTCGGGAAACGAACGAACACACCCACGCACGCACGTACGCTCGCTCGCTCGGCACAGTTAACCATAAAACATCTTGAAAGCTTTACTTAGGCATTGAAAGCTCTAACCCAAGGCAAACTACTTTTAAACAAGGGTCGCACTACGCTCTTAGAAATCTTCGTAAATAGAGCATGCTCGACAGTACCCCCAAAAATGTGGACACAAACGACTTGAGCTGGTGGAATATTGTTCGTCATAAAGGGAAAGCTGAATTCAACGCCAGAAAGTAATCATTCTCGATTATCGGGCCGATACAGATTCTATTGGGTGTAAAGGGCAATGGAATTTAGCGGTGAAAAATATATGAATGGATCACTGAAAACCAGTGATGACACCAGGTGTTCGCGAAATGGGTAAGCATGTATTGCTCTACCGATATCCCCCGCCAGAAATCGTCCCTCTTTGTCTTGTGGATAGTGTGTTTTTGGCACTCTGAATCTTTATGCGTAGATCTACATATGACAAAGATGAGGCTGTCTCACTGGTCTCTTTTATTCTAGTTCAGGTGGGTAAATCAATAAAAGGCAATTGGCTATTTGATCATTATTGAACGATATCGGATCACCGATATACCTGAAGCTTAAATTGAACATTTTTTTATTTTGTCAATCCGAGCGGAAATTCCGATTCATTTTGCATGAAAAAACAGATCGACAAGAAGTGGAGCACAATTACTGCACATGTTACTGCACTTCTTGCCCTATACCCAAAATTCACAAGGATTAAACCTGTTCAAGCACAACATTTTACTTATTGTTGTGTCATTAAACTTCAGATGGCATGCTTCCTGATCCTTTGAAAATAGAGATGTAACCAAATGTATGGTCGACACGATTAGTTACAAATGCTCCATGGAGGGGGGCGGTCGGGTAGCCTAGTGGTTAAAGCGTTCGCTGGTCACGCCGAAGACCCGGGTTCGATTCCCAACATGGGTACAATGTGTGAAGCCCCTTTCTGGTGTTCCCCGCCGTGATATTGCTGGAATATTGCTAAAAGCGGAGTAAAACCATACTCACTCACTCACTTCATGGATCAAGGAATTAAGTCTATCATTAAGCTTGTCGTGTGGGATAGTGGTGTGCACAGATCCTTTTAAGATCGTTTGTAAAACACGAAGACAGGACCAACAACCCTGCACTATTTCACTGACTCAACCCAGGGGGTGCGACTGGAGCAATATACAAAATATATCGCGAAATAAATGTATGCATTAATTAGCTGCATAATAATGTATCGACTGTATTCGTAATATAAGTTAAGAAAAGTAAGCGTTCCAATCGGCCATGTGGCTACATTGAAAATGCCTGCATAGTTAGTGCGTTGCAACATCAATAGCAGTTAATCATCAAAGACAAAATACGCACTTTTAGTGTTGTAGGTGTCAAATTATAAACACAGACATTAAGCAGATTTAATCAACCAACGAGAAACAGGTGACCAGAAGATATGAAATCAAACCTTCGTCGTCTTGATCGAAATTGAAATCAGCGTCAATATCAAACTCAAAGGGCACTGATTTCCTCCGGCCACGTCGCCGAAAGTCACTGTTATGGTTCTCGTCGTAGTCGCTGACGTCATCAACAAAGTCGTCGTCGTCTTCGTCACCGCTACTCCCTGATCCGTCAAAGTCGCTGCCCCGTCTGCTCTCCGTCCTCCCCTCGCCAAGTTCCGTCAAGAACGTCTTCTCCCGAACCATCATCCGGGCAACCGTCTCAGCCAAGGAAGCCTCTGAGGTGGGACTTTCCATGTTCCGGTCCGGGTCCTCTTTGGGATTCTTCAAGATGGACTTGGGAGATCCCTGGTCCTTACCAGGATCCTCTGAAATGGCCTCCAGGTTGGCACCGTCTTTCAGGGCCTTCCGCCTGTAATAGTAAAGCAGTAAAATAATAGCTGTGTTTGGAAGTGTTTGTCAGTTGTACTTAGGCATGCCATCCTAGTTGGTTTAAGTAAGGCTTTTGTTTCGAGTTTGGTTACACATTTGGTGCTCGTGCCATACAAGGAAATTTGCGCTACGACCGTCGTAAATCCCATACTTAAACAATCCCACCCCATCCCCAGGTTTTCGATTGGTCGATGCCTCACGCCTTGGTTTTGATTATGTTGGTATGGTCGCTCAACGCAAATCTAGCTGAATTGGACGCATTCGCTACGAAGGATAAGTGTTATCACTTGAATACTGTTCAAAACGGCGTTAAAACCAACTCACTCACTCACTCCTTCTAATACAAATAGACCACCTCCATTATCTAGTAGAAAGAGCGTCTGCCTGGAGAGCGGAAAGTCAGGGGTTCGATCGCCAAACCATAAGACGTTAAAAGATGGTACTTGCAATCAGCCTGCCTGGCACTCAGGATAACACAAGGACGGGTCGGCTCGGAGTCAGTATACGACTCTGCGAGGGGTATCCATGTTAAACAGCGGCATGGTATCTGAGTGGGCTAGCACTATAAAACCTGTAGTTACAATAAACGCTTGCTCGGTCAGTTACGAAACGTGATAAGGCGTCGTCAGATTATCTATCGGGGCGGTGGGGTAGCTCTGTGGTTATAGTGTTCTCTCATCACGCTTATGGCCCCGGTTCGATTCCCCTCGTGGGCACAATGTGTGACGCTCATTTCTGGTGTCCCTCGCCCTGATATTGCTGGAATATTGCTACAAGCGACGTAAAGCAATACTCACTCACTCAGTTTGTCTTTACCTGATTGCAGCGAGCCTCTAGTATTATAACGAAACGGGAACTGGTCAACGTTAACACTAGAACTGACGAATGTAACGACCACCTCTACCACTGACTATCCAGGGTTGCACTTTGCACTGTGATATTGCTCACAACTGAAACTATGTTCAACCCCAGTTCATTGGTTGCTAAAAGAGCCGGCTGAATATCGGGATCGGGTGGTATTGCCCTGTGACCTTTTTGTTTGCTTGTTGTTTAACGCCGCACTCAGCAATATTCCAGCTATATGACGACAGTCTGTAAATAATCGAATCTGAACCAGACAGTTCAGCGATTGACGTCATGAGCATCGATCCACGCAATTGGGATACGATGACATGCATAAACCAAGTCAGCAAGCCTGACCATCCGATACCGATAGTCACCTCTTACGGCAAGCAAACTCGCCTTTTACGGCAAGCATGGGTTGCTGAAGACCTGTTCTAACCAGGATCTTCAGGGGTCCTGTGACCTGATGATTAGCATGGCGTCGTACCTCTGACGACGTGAAACGTTTATCATGCTATTAACAACTGGTTTGACTGAAACAGAGCGCCGTGATATAGCTTGAACATTGCTGACCGCGGCGTAAAACAACAAACACATCAGTTCATAATTTTGTTCAACTATTTGTAAAAAGGTCTAGGTGATATGTGCTAAGTACTGCGATTTAGCCATGGCTACAGTTAGCAATTATAAATTATGCAAAATAGAATATTTAAATGTTTTGTATAACATAATTTCGGAAATATTTTCGCTATAAGATTATTTTATGGCTCCCATCAACACGTGCTTCAAGCCTGTTGTAGCTTCCTCGTCATATGTGTTACTCTGGACAGTGTGTAAAACAGCAAATAGACCAATCACAATCGACAATTTAAGAATATGTCATATTCAACCTGCTAATTCATAATATTCATAATAAGTCCTTACGACCATATTAATTGTTGGTGGGTCAATAGACATATAATTGAAAAATAATCAGAGTGGAAAGTTCTGACACAGGAGCTGAACATTTAAACATTATCTCTGCATTAATAAATTAGTATTTTGATATAGAAAGCTGTTTAATGCTACCGTTTCACCTACCTGACAATTTTTCTTCTGCCAGACCACATTTTGGTAAAATGATATCGTGTATCCCCACTAGAACGAACTATATCCTCAACACATGGTCTACAAGACAACTCCTGTCACTAAGGGCCCTAAAGCCTGGGTAATTCCACCTCCAGTAGATTCATGACACGGTGTGCCAGCTTACATACAAAATTTGTTATTGAATACACACAAAAGTTGTTGTTTGTGACAAACAGCATACCCCTCGAGTGTAAGGACATGTCTATCTGACGTCCCCCCTTCAACAAAGCAGGATTGTCCACGAAGAGCGACCTTTCATACCGAACCATAAACATGATCTATATTTAGGTAAAAAGAAAAAGAGGATTCACAATATTGCACAGAGCGAATATTGCTGGTTACAAATAGGTGTCGATTTAAACGTGACCATGTCTGTGTATTGTACATACTTCAGATACGAGCACCGATATGCACTAAAGCCTTCTATAAGTTGGTGTACTTATATTATATTTGACAGTACAATACAGCACGTTACATGACCTATGAAATGCTGGAAGGTTTAAAGCGTGTCAGTTGAATGATAGCGACAAAACCGTTTTAATAATCTTAAGAAATATCTGCTAAAAGAAGAGTCCATTGTACGACTCCATTACGATAATCATGTGTTTTTGAATCACTAATAGTGATGATACCAGGTGTTTGTGAAAAGGTGAACGTATCCTGCTTCACTGGTGGCACCCGTCGCAAACACATGCAAAGGCAAGTCAAGTGTTTACCTGACGAGGTCCTGCGTGTTAATTGATTCGTGCGTGCATCTTCATATTTGAGGAGGATATATGTTCTCTTATTTGACGACTTTTGTAATTTATTTACCTTTGTACAATGTAAATACTTTGTAAGTTTAAATATAAATATAATAGGGTTTTTTATTGTAAGGGTCTTATGGCCCAACCATTGATAAGAGTGCATGTAATAGATGGTAACTTTAGAAACTCATATTCTCGCTGCCTTTTGAAACTGCTTCAATTCGATAAGACTTTGACTCGTCGCTAAAAGGCTGCGATAATGCCGATGCGATGTTAAATTTTAACTCACTCACTCACTCACAATTCGCTAAGATCCTTTTCCCCAAATATTACTCGTATCCTCGAATCTTCCCTAAACTTTACAATTTATCCGCATACTCGGTCTATAACCAATATTGTATCATACCCGTTCTTGAATGTTTCCAAAGTTTTCACCTCCTTTTTGTAATCTTACAAAACAGTTATACCCTGTGAGTATTTGAGATCGGGTTTATAAGTAACTAGATCCGGGGTAGAATATGTCCCCAGCAACCCATGCTTGCCGTAAAAGGCGACTGTGCTTGTCGTAGGAGTCGACTAACGGGATCGGGTGGTCAGGCTCGCTGACTTGGTTTATGCATGTCAATCACTGGATTGTCTGGTCCAGACTCGATTATTGATAGACTGCCGTCATAAAGCTGGAATGTTGCTGAGTGCGGCGTTAAACAACAAACAAACAAACAAATATAAGTAAACGTATGACGATACCATTACCCATCTTGTGACATATTGTCGATAGAAATATAACGCGATTTCAAAAACGTTATTTCGAGGATTTGTTTCATCCATATAACACTTGTTTGTTAGCCTGTGATCAGAAAATACACCCCTCCTTTTCCCGAAATCTGCCCCATGCTTGCACGTAATTCTATACACTGCCTTCATACTTGTGTATATACCCTTCCTGAGATGTTGTTGATGACAGAGCATTGTATTCTAGGCCTAGTTTGACACAACAATCTGCACACTGATCGGCCCTCCACTTAAACCGGGATACGTACTTCAGTGTTTAATGTCTATAAAGTGCTGCACTGTTGGATTGATTCCCGATGAGCACACCCTACCACAACTCTGTGTGTGTGTGTGTGTGTGTGTGTGTGTGTGTGTGTGTGTGTGTGTGTGTGTAACGCCGCACCAGCTAAATGACGGCGGTCTGTAAATAATCAAGTCTGGACCAGACAATCAAGTTATTGACATCATTAGCATCGATCTACGCATCTTGGGATACGATGACTTGCATCAACCAAGTCAGCGAGCCTGACCACCCGATTCCGTTTGTCGCCTCTTACGACAAGCATAGTCGCCTTTTACGGCAAGCATTGGTTGCTGAAGGCAAGTCTAACACGGATCTTCACGAGTCCCCCATATATTGTACCTTGTGCGTGACAAGTTAACGCTTTAACCACTAGACTGTGTCATCACATGGAAGTTGCCGTGGTTGTCGAATATTAATGGAAGAAGTAACACCCCCTTAATAATGACATGTAATATAAATAAAATTATGATTTAAAGACTGTTCTTTTTTTAAAGGGATATACATATTCTTATAATGAGAAACATGGTCTGTTGATATTGATCAACTGTATTTTCCCATACGTGCCAAATCATCACGGCAACATAGATCCAATGTTGATCTCGTTACCGTTTTTAGATGGGTTACCTCCCTTTGATGCGGCATGTGGGTTGACAATTTTACCCATGTAAAGGATAAAAATATATTACGTTTATTATTTGTAGAAAATTAAGTCATGCTTATAAAGATGCTTATTCGTCGGAATGAAACAGTGGTTGATAGCATGAACAGCGATCTACGCCGTTGGGTACGATGTCTATATATATAATACATGTGACACACTGTGACCCGATCCTCATTTGTTTCGCCTTTTGCGACAGACATGGGGTGCAGGGGACTAGCAGACAAAGACAACATCAAAATGAAAGGACAATGCACTGACAGATGACAAATGAGCCCCCACCCCCCGTCCCCCCTCGAGAGACAAGAGACAATATCCGCATAAACCCCAAGCTCCTCGACGTGGCTAGTCGCCTGCAGTAGATCGGCATCCAGGGATCACACCTAACCCCTCAACTAATCGGCCTCCTGATATTTATCATGTAACAGTCACTAAAGCTTAACGGGTAGAGGATCAGAATATCTCCTGTACTCCTGGTAGAGTTCAAGCTCCCAGAGATGAACTAGGAGTTCACAAACTCACATTTTTGT